AGTTACGTTAGTTAGTTACTCCAAACAAGGCCTACAGTTGCGTTAAGATAATAAAATGTTTCAATTTTAACGTTTTGGGATAATGTTGTTTTATAGATTTAGGACTAACCGACCAAATTTTTTCAAGGATAATATATTTTTTTAAGATAATCTTTGAACTTTAACATTAATTTTAATGTGTTCAAAGATAAAAAAAAAATTATTAAAAATTTTAAAAAGATTAAAAGGTGAAACTTCTAACGATATATGAGAATTTCTTTTTTAAAAGTCGAGCCACTAATTTGACAAAGAGTAGTTAACGGTCTAAACCACGACATTAACAAAGAATTCTTTTTTGAAGTTAGAAAATCTAAGATTACTTCTTCCTTTTGATAGTAACGTGTGAACAAATCTCCCTAACTTTTACATTTATTTGATGGACAAAATAAAGTTGCAGAGAATGGGACAGGAAAGGCTCAAGGAACTTAGTGAACTATCTCTCCAAGATCACAAACCTTGTCAACGCTCACTACAACACATCAAGTCTGCCAAAGCTTGATGGATTAAGATTGGTAACGATGTAAAATCTGTTAGGTGTTAAGACTATATCCGTTCCATGCATGTTTTGGGAATTTAAACCTTGTGAACTTATTTGCTGAAGAACTTTCATACTTTGAAGTTCCGCTGTAGGAAAATTTTTTCGACAAATAAGATTAGTATTAGTTCTACGAGGCTCTGAAACTGATAGACTCGATGCCAGAAAGGAACTGGTGCGACTTGCCTGGCTACAATTCCACATTCCAAATTGATTAAGAACAGTAATGTAGCTTATATATATATATATATATATCATATTGAAACATTTTCTATACGAACTTGAGGGGAACTTTAAGGCAAAATTTATAGTGATGAGATGAATAGCCTACGCCAGGAGAACAAGACTTTTGCCAAGTATCATGTCATCAGTTGAGAAATCAGCCTCCTTCCTGTATGTTCCCCTTCCAAAATCTAGGTTATACGAGTCTGCAAGTCCTTCCACCAGGTCAAATTCCGGGTTCCATCCTAGCACATGCTTTGCTTTCTCAATTGACTGCATTATATGAAAATTGACAAAGTAATGATGATATTATTAAAACAAGTTCCTTGATGTACATTAATTATGACTTGGTCTGCTACTCATCGTGTTGCCATAACCACAATTCTATGGGATATTCCACAATACTTGGAGCCTAGGATCAACTATTCTTAGGAAAATGTAAACCTTATAGTTTATGATGTGACTACGGCAAGAAAACTACTCTGAAGAATTATCTGATGTAAATTTGTAGTCACTTGGTCTGCAGGTTGCAGCCAACTTTGTTCTTATAACCAAAATAGACAAAGAAGCTGATTCTGTCAAGTCACCACTGTTTCATAAGAAAGTTCCGGCCTAAAGTCTAAATTTTTTTGGAAAATGTAACTTGACAGTACTATGGCGAGAAATTTGCAATAAGAAGTCTTTACCAGTGCAGATAGGAATATGAACAGACGTTTTAGCATTAGTCATGAAACTTCTGCCATTTGGCAAATTAGAAAAATAGGCATATATAAGAAAGGTTACCCAAATGAAATTTTAAAACAAGGTGATCTCACAGGTATTGAAGTTTCTACAGGAACATAAACTTCATCCAATCAAATGGAGCCTTATCCTTTCAATTCCTCTTTCATGCAAAGTCATATATTACATTATTTACTTGTGAACGAAATTTCTGTCAAAACTTACCTGATCACGGAATGGGAATGCCTTCTTTTTACCAAAGTCAAACTCCTTGGGGTTGTAGCGAACAATCTCAGGCTCAGGAAATCCACCACCCTGGGTGGAAAACAACAAATTCAGTTAGTGGTATCAATGGATTTTAATCTTTTCTAATGTACTCTTAATGATTCAGAAAAGAACTTGTTAGAATTGCCTTGGCACATGCCCTTGCTAATCCATCAAAAGTTACATACTTTTCTCCTGAAATGTTGAATGCCTGCTTGCTGGCTTTTTCATTACGAAGAACCTGGATGAAAGCCTTTGCCAAGTCCTGCAGTTCTACGACTATGTTACATCATTCTCACTCAAAATTAAAAGGGACAAAAACCATACAAAAAATTATCACACAATAGAAACTTTATTAGACAAGCCTTATTGGATCAGAAGCAACTTGGAGAACTAGTATGTGTGCTGACCATTATATGTGTAAGTAGACTTAACTCACTGTCTAAATGCCATGTTGGATCCTTCCAAGTTCCAAATAATTTCTATGGAAGAAGGTGCTATGCTTCTTGTAGTAAAACTACCAAGCAGTTTAATTATTGACTACCCCAAGTTAACAAGAAAAAATATTTTCTGAAATAGATAAAAGAGACACCCATTTGCAACCTAAATACCAAATTTGCAGAGGCCAATAGGCTTGCAAGTTTCGCCGACTGTTACATGACCCAGTTGGGTTATTTGCAACCCAGAGTTGGGAATTGGAATAGGGCGACCTGCTTTCAAAAGGTGGAAGATCCATTCTTCAACAGGATTGTAATTCAAAGGTCCATATATGTACACTGGCCTCAAAGAAGTCCAGTTAATACTTCTCGAATCCAATAAGTTCTCTCTATTAAGCTTTCCCTTGTGCCTACTCTTTGGATCAACTGCATCAGTCTATCACCAAGGCGCCAAATAATAAAACGTGGATACATAGGAGGCAAAAATGGAAGAGAGAGCAAGAGGATGAATTATGAATTTTTCCCCTCGTTATCATCACATAGCATTAAGGTCTGGCACCCTGAATTGACCAGTAACATACAGGTGAATAGAAATATGACTGCAGTTGACAATCCTACCTCACAATGTGGTAAAAGATCAGACTTGAGGTAAACACCAGCTGACGAGCATTATATGAACCTGAAATACCAGAGATTTAGAAATTTGAAAACAGAAGTTAACAAATCCAAATGTACCAAAACAAAAATGCGGTTATGGAGAATATTTATATTTTCTAAGTTTATCATAATTCAAGACATTGAAACTTTTTGAACTAATTGATATATTGATGCCATTTTTAGACACATAACTGATCCTTTTAGTTGCTGGCAAAACATAATTTGATCCCCGGTAGTGAATTTACATTCATAGAGCCGTTTATTCAAATTAAGCAATTATTCTTTGATAGTACGTAACATTATAACTAATTCTAATATCTATTTCAAAGGACTGGCTTTAGAGCTTACTGATCTAGATTTGGGAGCACATCCAGTAAGGGTTCAACTTCGTCTGCCTTTCGTCCTCAAAAATTGTAGCAAGAAATATTCTCTACTTGAAACAAAAATTAAGTTTTGTGGTATACTGATAAACAGTTGTATCCTAGTGGAACATAAAACCCTGAAAGAGTGGACAAATAAAAGTCCACATACCATTTATGTCATACACCACATCGAAGCCTTCAGCAGAGAGACTCGATTTCACAAATTCAAAATCCTTTCTCTCCTTTCAAATGCAAGATCTAGCAAATCAAGGTTAGAAAAAAGAATTATCTACTTTGTTTGTGCACATAAGTTTATTTTTTTGTCAAAAGGAAAACACAACTGCAATTGAGAAGCGGAGACTCTCATAGCATAATGATTAAACTTTGAATGCATATATAGTCAGTAAGTGATAATAATACCTTGGATTTAAAATCAGAGTACTCACTGTCTGATTCACCTGGCAATTGTTGGGTAATTGGTGCTTTACCTCTAGTAAACAAAGTAACCTGCCAAAGGATTAGCTTCCTTTAGCGATTTAGCATCCAAAACATTGGTTTTACATTATGCAACAACAGATGCAAACTACTAAAAATAAAATGAAACAGGCAAAGAAAAGAAATCCCAAGAAGAATATTGATACCTGATGAACCTTTTTCACTAGGAGTCTTGACAAAAATACAGCAACGAACCGGGTGCCTCCCATTATAAGAATTTTCTTGCTGCTAGATGCAGCAACATGCAATGCTCCTTTTGGTTGCCATACCTTTCTTCTGTACTGCAACCAGGTATAGAACTATAAATGTCAAGAAATAGATCTTATTTGCCTCCACGAAATTAAAAGAACAAGAGAGAGTAGTTGCTGCCGAGCTCTGCAAAGATCTATTTTTCCTAGTTGCTAATCAAATCCCTATCCAATATAGTTGGTGCCTCTTTCATCAGCAATACTAAGTAGTCATCTTAACTCATCCCATATCATTAAATTGGTTAACTTAAATTCAGACATCAATTATTTTCTATACGTTTTAGTATAGCAAGTGATGACTCATATATAGGTGCTGTGTCATATAAAACTCAAGGTTGGTCAAGTCAGTCCAAAATGAATAAAACTCTGAAAAGAAACCAAACGTTTTAAAACAATTTCAATATGCATAGAAAAATGCAAGAACATCCTGTTTCCAAAATGTATATGGAATTTCTTCATTAGAAAGAGATCTACCTGGATTTGACAGAGCTTGGTGCCACTGAAGTCAGAAGTCAGAGAGAGAGGAAGGGAGGAGGGTGATGGAAGGCTGCTTTGTGGGCTGCAACACCATCAGCCTTGACATGTTGCTTCCCTTGTTTTTCAGAGTTTGCGATTGCAAGTTGTAACTGAAAATTGAAATGTACATTTCGTAATTCAGCTTTTGGTGTCTGTCCTGCTGGCCCTCTCTCATTCTAACAAACGATCGGGACAACACAATGTCCCAACTGAGCTCACTTGGGTTATATCCACGGCCTCCCGTTCGCCTCCACAATTCTTGCAAAGGAGAACTGCTCCTGCAAGTTAAGTCAAGTAAGCCCAAACACTTTGGTTTGGGACCCAAGATCTTTCCCAGCTCTAGTCAGTTTTCGAGTCCAATCAGCAATCAAAATCTTTTTCTGAGGCCCAATAGTAAACTAAACTCAGGAAGTGTTTATTTCCAATCATTTGGGTTTGGGTGGTAAATTAAAAACTTGAGAAATGAGTTGGGGAAATCTGAATAAGTCCTCGAATATTAGGGTCTTTCTTTCGTAAATAATCCTCTTTTAGCCGGATCTACGAAGAAACCAAAAGTTTCTGTCATAGCAAGAGAAAAAAAAAAATCAACTTTTGTATTGAATCCCTGTAAATTCGCTAGAAGGTTCAAAACCCATTAAATTCTTACATCTACCCCGTATGGATTTTAGTCAGGTGAGTTTATCATTCTCTCCTTTTCTCCCATTGTTTTTTCTATTTTTGCTAGTTTATCAGAGTTCCTTGGTTTGTAATTACTTGTTCTAGTTATGACGCTATGTGGGTTTAGTATTAACGATCATATTGAATTGGTTAATTGGTAGATCTGAGTCTTCTGGGAGGCTTTTGATTTTGAAGCATATCCTTTTGTTTGGTTGATGAACAGAAGAAAACTAACCATTTGTAAATAAATCTTGGTAAACAACTCTTGATTGTTCAAAGTAAATCTAAGATCCAACTTTGGCCCCCAAAAATTTCAACTTCGTGTTGGTTCAATAATTTGGTTCAAGAAAGATGGTGAATTGAACAAGCTTAATTACCGTTAAAATAGAGTTCACATTGTTTTTAGCCTTGTGTATTTGTTTGAACATGAAAATTAGATAGAAATGATACTAATTTGATAACCAACTGTTTGCTTGGGGTTTAGAGTACTTGTTTGGTTCTTTCTGATGATTTCAAATTTACTCCTTTGTGCAGCCTCCAGGTGAAAATTATGCCAACCCCAAGACGTGTTTCTTTCATGTTCTCTTCAAGGTCAATTATTTTGTGCATCTAATCATCTTGATCTAGTGAATCTGATTTAGATGCCCTTTTCAGTGTTGATGTTAGTGTTTACTTTCTTGCTTCCTGTAGGCTGCAGCATTGGCATTTTACATCCTTTCCGCTCTCTTTTTCAACAACTTTGTGGTCATTTTTGTAGTGACTGTTCTTCTTTCTGCTCTTGATTTTTGGGTGGTTAAGAATGTCAGTGGACGTATATTAGTTGGTTTGAGGTGGTGGAATGAAATTAATGATCTTGGTGAGAGTGTGTGGAGATTTGAATGTCTTGACCAAGAGGTGAGTGTTTCCCTTAACCGAACCATATGTTTACTTTCAGATATAGCATTACCAAGTCTCTCAGTTGTTTATTGTTGCTGTATGCTTTAGTCATTGGCCCGGATGAACAAGAAAGATTCATGGCTGTTTTGGTGGACCCTTTACCTTTCAGTAAGTTTATCCCTTGCCTTGGTATATACTTGTATATTTTTGTCCCAAATGATCAAAGTCATTAATTCATGATTTAATTTTTCAGGCAGTTTTTTGGATTGTGCTTGGAATATTCTCTCTCATAAGGTTTCAAGCTGATTTTCTCCTTGTTGTTGGAGTTTGTTTAACTCTCAGCATAGCAAATATTGTTGGTTTCACCAAATGTCGCAAAGGTTGGTTTGCTTATTATGATTAGCAATGCTTGGTTGAACGTGATATCTAATGTAACTTTATCCTTACTCTAGCTATTTTATTCATTCAAGAATTCTTTTGTGCAACTTTCAATAAATTATCTAGGTATGGCATCACATTGAGACAAGGAAATGGCATGCTTATTAATAACTTAATTATGACTTAGTCTAAATAGTTAATGATGCCAAGACAAGTTCAAGTTGAGACAAGATTTTCCAAGTGTATTTCCAAGCTATGTGATGCAAGCATGGTTTGTGATATGTACAAGATAAATCTTCCAAGTTTAAGTTTATGACTTGGTCTAAATATCTTTGGATATTCAGATAGCTTGTATTGTCTTGCACTTTATTTGCTGTTTCCTTGAGCAAATTATGATGACTTTTCCTATGGATACTGAGATGTCTCAATTTCTTAAAAGAGGGAGAATAAAAACATGGTCCTTAAACTTTTACCTTTCATTTGGCAGCATGATTGGTGCTAGTAGTTTGCATAAGGAAATCATCCATCAGGGGTTGTGATTAAATTGGGTGTAAACTGAACATTGGCTCCCCATACATTTGCTTTTCTTTCTGCATGTATTCTTGGTTTGTTGCAGGTTACAACTTTTGATTTGTTTTTGCCCTATGTATTTAGTTTGAGAGATGATAAGTGATGATTTTCAAGTATTAAGATTATAGGTGCTGAGATTCAAGTGCATGTATGATTCAGGGCATTCACAATGAGGCCCATTTAAAATATAGGGAATATTGGGACTTGGATGCAACAGAATTTGCAATGTTTCTATCCCCAATTAATTTGCTTTATTTCTGCCTGTTTTTCAGCTTTCTTTTTTCACCTTGTAAATTAACAATAAAATATTGTTTGGTCCTCCTTTCAGATGCCAAGAAGCAGATTCAACAGTTTGCTTCCCAGACCATTGCCTCAAGAGTTTCATCCACTATACAATCAGCATTTAGTGTTATCTGAAATAGTCAATAGTGAAATACGGGAATTACACGGAAGAAAATGCACTGTAGAGGAGAAGTTGAGAAGTGTGGCATGTACAAAACAACAACTAGTACTGAATTGCCCGTTTCTGTGAACTAGGGGTTAAAAATCAAATGACTTTTATGGTACCTCTAATGCTTTGTAAAATGAATCACTCAAACCAAAAAAAAAGGTTTGTCACCACAATCATCATCTTTCACTTACTACATTTTGGTTGTCAGTACGATGAATTGCATTCTTCCCTTAAGAGTTCTTGTTATTGGTTTCGATTCATTCAACTTCTCTTCCCCTTGGTGTCAGAGATGCCAACAGCATTTTCTATTTGCTCTCTCTCTTTCTCTCTCTCTCTCTCTCTCTCTCTCTCTCTCTCGTACATCTGTAAATCATATATATGGTTGAATGCGGCCACTGCGGCCAATGTATACAGGCGAACTATGGTTGACGAGTTAGAAATTCCAACACCGTGCAAAGGGATTTTTGACTGGATCGTCACTTTCTAAGAAACACGTTTGAGACTTTATTTTCTTTTAAGAAGAGAAACTAGTTGCTCCATTCATTCAATTCAATAGGTAGCAGAAAAAAAAAAAAAAAAAAGGAAAAGGCACATGTTTTCTCTTTAAAAAACAAAAAAAAAAAAAAAAACTTTCCTTTACTTGAGAATAAGAAATAAAATGTATTAAACTAGAAAAGGAAACATACAAATTGCTCACTTGTTGGAAACAAGGAGGGCGGACACATCAGAGATGTTGCAGTGTAGTTTTCTCCTATCAGACTCTGGGTAATGCATAGCGAAGTAGTCTGTCAAAATTTAGTCCTTTTCTTCTATGTGCATGTTTATCACTGGGTGAATTTTGGTCAAGATTCATGAACTTCTCAGTTCTGCTCAAACTAAACTGAAACAGCATGTTTGTTGGAGCTTTTGAATGAGATGATAGACAATGGCTTCCCTCTAACAAAAGAGCCAAACATTTTAAGAGAGATGATAGCTCCACCAAATATTGTCAGCGAGGTTTTGAATGTGTTAACTGGTAATAGTTCCAATGTAAGTGATACCCTCCCTGGTGCAACAGGGTCTTGGGTTCCATGGAGAGCAGCAGGTCCAAAATATGCAAACAATGAAGTTTATGTTGATCTTGTCGAAGAAATGGATGCAGTTACAAACAGGTCAGTTCTCTGATTTGGCTATAAAATTCCTTCTTATTAACATTGTTCTTTTTGATTTAGGTTTTAAGTTAATGTGCAATAGTTGAAGGTCTCACTTGTTTATATTGCCTGGTTTTACACTCAGAGTCTTGAGCAACTTTCTTTTGCATGTGCTGTTTAGGGATGGGGTGTTGGTCAAACGAAACTTGAAACCACATTAAAAATGAAAATTTACATAACCAAAAGCATGGAATCATAGTTATTAATAGCAAAAAGTTTATAAAAGTTCAAACAAAAATCTTAAAACCAAAACAAAGGTTTCACTCAACTTAGAAATAGTAGAGTTTGGTTAATTCCAAAAAAGTATAGTTATTTCAAGACATTTTCAATTTTTCTTTACTACAGTATAATTACCATATATAAAGCGCTTTCCTTGTAAAAAACGAGATTCATCCATTCCCTTCTCTGTTTTTCTTCCTAGCCATTTTCCCCTGTGAAGGAAGGACACAAATCACTCTCTCGAAGCCTCTTATCCTCCACAAAAGAATAAATAAAAGAACCATCTTTTACAAGTTATTTTTCAATCTCCTTGTTCAACTCACTAAAAAAAAAAAAAATCATGCTTTACTCTTCTCTATCTCCGTATCTTTGTTGTAGTTTCAGTTGTAGATTATGAACGCCATCAATTTCCTCAGCAATTCCACCATGAAGCTTCCTTCCAGGGTCCTAAGCCTCAGGAACGCATCGTTTTTGGGGTTCAGACATTCGTTTAATCCCCCTTGTTGTCAACCTATGCTTAGCTGCAATAGCAAAGCTTTTCTGTTGAATTTCAATCACAAGTCTCAATTCCACTCCTACCCTTCTCCATTCCTAAGCTTTCAACGCGTTATCAACAAAACCCAGAAGTTGAATTGCTTACCAAGTATAGGTTTTGCTCAATCGAGGGCGGTTTTGAGGCCTTATGGTGTCTCTGTTAAAGCCAAGGTAGCCTCAATGGTAAGGGATCTCTCAACATCGCTTGAAACCCGCGTAAACGACAAGAATTTCAAGAGAATTTACGTGCAAAACGGCATCAATGTGAAACCACTAGTCGTTGAAAGGATTGACAAGTATGAGAACATTGTAGGAGGAGAAGTTCCTCGTACTGAAGATGAAAACAACGTAAAGAATGTTGGGGAGTGTTTGCAGGAGGGAAAAAGTGGAATTTCAGTTGAGAGCGGCATTGAAAAGGAGGCATGGAATTTGTTGAGAGATGCGGTTTTGACGTATTGTGGGTCCCCTGTTGGTACAGTGGCTGCAAATGATCCAGGTGATAAGCAGCCTTTGAATTATGATCAGGTTTTCGTTCGTGATTTTGTGCCTTCGGCTTTGGCTTTCTTGCTTGGAGGTAAGGAGAGATTGTCAAGAATTTTCTCCTCCATACCTTGCAGTTGCAGGTATATATATTGTACATATACACTTATTTATGTTGTTGGATAATGTTGTAGCACCATTAGTTGAACATTTCCTTTTTTGATTTGACTAATCATTTATTAGAAAGATACTGATTGTTTGGTAATCTTTTGTCTACTATTTACTTAACATTCAAATAGCCTAATTAGCATTTTAAAATGTTAGGAAAAATCATCTTAGGATATTTCATTGTCTGTGGTTTTTCTAACTGTCTGTCATGTTTTTCTTAATGTTTTTGGATATATCTGGAATTTTTTCATGTTCTTTTCTAAAGTACTCAGTGCATGTTTCTTACGCCATTAAGGAAAGTCTTTCTTCACCTTGTGTAAAACAAATGCAATGCACATATTTGCCATAAAGTTGGTATATTGTGCTTTAGATTCCTTTCAATCATTGTAGAACTTTGAGCATTTATTAGTTAATGTAATCAATTTTATGTCTCTTTTGCACATGCTGGGAGCTTGAGATACATCCTCGCACAATCCGAAGTTGGATATGTGTTTTTCTGTGGATATGTGTTTTGCTATGTATCATGAAGGTTAACCTTTTTGCTGATCAGAATTGCAAAATTATCCATTTGGAACTTAACAACCCTTTGTTGTTTTTGATCTAGAGTTGGGAGAAAACTGTCGACTGCTATAGTCCTGGACAGGGTTTGATGCCGGCAAGTTTTAAGGTTAGAACTGTACCTCTTGATGACAATAAGTTTGAGGAAGTGCTAGATCCTGAGTTTGGTGAATCAGCTATTGGTCGTGTTGCACCAGTGAACTCTGGTTAGTATATTGCAATTTTATGTACCTTTTACTACAACAACTTGCCATTCTTATGAAATGAGGATGCTGAACTATTCAAATTTAGCAATCTTAACATTCTTGTACTTCTAAAGTGATTTTTTCTTTTCCAAAGCTCTTACTGGTTGGGAACATCAAATAAAACTGACTAAGTTTATTGAACTAACATTGTTGATAGGATTGTGGTGGATTATATTGTTGAGGGCATATGGGAAGATCACTGGTGACTATGTATTGCAAGAGAGAGTGGATGTTCAAACTGGAATAAAACTGATCCTCAACTTGTGTTTAGCTGATGGATTTGATATGTTTCCTTCTATGTTAGTCACTGATGGATCCTGCATGATAGACAGAAGGATGGGTGTTCATGGTCATCCCCTTGAGATCCAAGTGAGTTCATTTGTTTGTAGTTTTTTAAGTTTCCCTATGAACAAAAAACAAAGTGGCTTTGCCTTGTTCCTGTTAGATATATTAGATGTCACCTGGTTTTAACTGAGTTAGGTTGCGATTTCATCTCAGTTACATAGTCTCAATTCGCCATGGTATTGGACCCTGTGTCATTTTTTAAAAGACACTTAAGTTTGTCCTTGCTCTGTTTTGTTGTCTTGTAATTCTGTTTTATTTTGCCAGCTTATCTTTGGTTATCCTAATTGTCACATGTTTGATCTACAGGCTTTGTTTTATGCTGCTCTACGTTGCTCTCGGGAGATGCTCACTGTAAACAAAGGTTCCAAGAATTTGGTGAGGGCCATCAACAATAGACTCAGTGCATTATCGTTCCACATCAGAGAATACTATTGGGTTGACTTGAAAAAAATCAATGAGATTTACCGATATAAAACAGAAGAGTACTCCATGGATGCTACCAACAAGTTCAATATTTATCCCCAAAAAATTCCTTCATGGATTATGGATTGGATACCTGAAGAAGGCGGGTATCTAATTGGCAATCTAGAGCCAGCTCACATGGATTTTAGGTTCTTCACACTTGGGAATCTCTGGTCCATTGTTGCATCGCTGGGCACTCCTAAACAGAATGAAGCTATTCTGAACTTAATCGAAGTCAAATGGGATGTTTTTGTGGGGCATATGCCTCTCAAGATATGCTATCCTGCGGGGGAGAATGAGGAGTGGCGCATAATTACTGGCAGTGACCCAAAGAATACGTGAGTACGTTGCCTTTTATTATGAAGAGACTCTCTCTCTCTCTATTATATCATCCTATGTATTTGTCTACTGATACTAGTATGCTTAACGAACTTGTGCAGCCCTTGGTCCTATCATAACGGTGGATCTTGGCCGACACTTCTTTGGCAGGTAAACTTGAATTTTGTTCTAGTTTGGAATAGCCTTTGTCAAGAATGGCCTCTTTATCATTTTAGGAGAAGGAGATGACTTTATATCTGGTTTTGTTTTAAACATGCAACTTTGTTGTCTAATGCTTGTTTGAAAAGCTTGAACTAAATCTTATATTACTTTTACAGTTTACTTTGGCATGCATCAAGATGGGCAGATTAGAACTAGCCCAGAAGGCAGTTGCATTGGCAGAGAAGAGGCTTTCAATTGACCGTTGGCCAGAATATTATGACACCCGAAGTGGGAAGTTCATTGGAAAGCAATCTCGACTTTATCAAACCTGGACAATTGCTGGTTTCCTGACATCTAGAATGATGTTGGAGAATCCAGAGATGGCTTCCTTGTCATTCTGGGAGGAGGACTACGAGCTTCTTGAGATATGTGTTTGTGCTCTTAGCAAAAGCGGCCGGAAAAAATGTTCTCGTGGTGTTGCTAAATCTCAGATACTTGAGTAATTGAACACCATTCTTTGGAAGGCAGAGAGCCCTTCTTCTACCGTACAGCCACAAGTTTTGTATTAAGCAATTTTCAATCCTTAAACAAACATATACAGTTTTGTATAACAAACTAGTGTAGTTGTTTGGCATTGAAAGTATAAATGACTGTCAGTGATCAACACAAGCTAATATTATTTGGAAGAAATGTATAATCTTTGATTTTCATTCTACTTCTTATGTATATGTATAGCTGAAGCCTCTGCCTCAAGTGATGAAGGTAAAATTAAACCCTCAATTACTTACCTTGTTCATTAGTTACTCAAAAGTAGTTCAAATTTAGAGAAATCTAATCAAGATGAAACAATTCAACTTTTCCAATCTTAGCCCTCAACCAAACATAATCTGTTCAACTTGTCGCAATTGAAACAGGTTTATAGGGTTAAAAGTGGAAAATCAAACACCCCTCTTAAACCCTAACTAACGGTCTTATTAAGCCCATTTGTATTAAAAAAAAAAAGAAGAAAAAACCCTAAGCCAACAAAGAAGTGAAGAAGGACCCAGCCGGAGCATCCAAAAACCGCTGGGGTATCTTACGCGGCCGTCGACTTGCTCTAGTAAAAAAGGTTTCAACTTTTTGGTGATTTTAGTTTTAATCCGAAGTTCATATATATATATATATATATATATATATATATATAGTGTAACTTTTTGGTGATTTTAGTTTTAATCCGAAGTTCATATATATATATATATAGTGTGTGTGTGTGTGTGTGTGTTTGTGTGTGTGACTCTTCCAATTTTGATGATTCGCAGATAAATATATATAGAGAGAGAGATTACAAAGTGTTTGCTGAAATGGGAGAAAAGGGCAAAAAATGTAAAGCAATTTCAAAATCTCAGAGTGCAGTTAAAGAACATAAAGAGCAGCTGGAAAGGCTCCAGAAAAAGGTTTCTCCTTTCGTTTCTATATCTTTTTCTTCTTTGGGGTTTCTGTATTTTTATCTTGAATTCTCTCCTTTTTATCTTTTATTAGCTTGTCTAAAATTTAATCTTTTTTTTTTTTTTATATTGGTTGTTACAGGATCCAGAGTTCTACCAGTACCTACAAGAACATGGCAAAGACCTTCTTACCTTTGATGATGAGGATATTGATGTAAGTGAGGCAAGTTATGTTCAAGTTTTTATTGTTTCAGATGGGTGCATAAAGTAAGGTGCAATTTCACTTGTTTCAATCTTTTGTAGGATGATGTTGATATGGAAGATGCGGAAACCCAGTTGGACCATGAGATTCATCAGCATGATATCTCCGAGGAGGAGGGGAAGCCATCTAAAACTGTTTTACTTGCTGCAATGGTTGATTCTTGGTGTAATTCAATTCGACAGGATGGAAGACTAAGTGCGGTTCGTTCTCTTATGAAAGCTTTCAGAACTGCTTGTCACTACGGTGATGATACTGGAGAAGACTCATCAGCAAAGTTTACTGTCATGTCCAGTGGTGTATTTAACAAAATAATGTTGTTTGCTCTATCTGAAATGGATAGAATTCTCCGCAAATTGTTGAACCTTCCTGCTTCTGGTGGAAAGAAAGAGACTATAAATGAGCTAATGAACACAAAACAATGGAAGAGCTACAACCACTTAGTGAAGTCATATCTTGGAAATGCCCTACACGTTTTGAACCAAATGACTGACACGAAAATGATATCATTCACTTTAAGGCGTCTCCAATATTCATCTGTCTTTTTGGCTGCTTTTCCAAACCTTTTGAGGAAATACATCAAGGTATGCAGAAAGGGGAAAGACATATGGGATTTTCTTAAAATTCGGTGATTTCTTTTTAGTTGCTGTTTGTTTTATGGTCCACTTGTGGTTATGGACCTGCACTCTTGCACAAGCAACATTAGAGTCCGAATATAGAAACCTTTTGTACTTTTTATATGCTTGTGTTTGAAATTCTTATATCTGTTAGGATGATTTGAGGTTTAATCTATTCCTTGGTGGAGGATATTGTTTTTAAATGTTTAACGAATATGGACCATACTCGTGAGCAGGTGATGATTGCAGTGACTGCTTGTTTTTCCATTGCTATTTTAGTTTATTTTGTCATCTTTCATAATGTGGTAAACAAAAACTAAAATTTTCTTTTTTTTCCCCAGGTAGCACTTCACTTTTGGGGTACAGGAGGCGGTACTCTCCCCGTTGTTTCCTTTCTATTTCTTAGAGATCTTTGCGTTCGGCTAGGATCTGACTGTTTAGATGAATGTTTCAGAGGGGTCTACAAAGCCTATGTTTTAAACTGCCATTTTGTGAATGCAGTAAAATTACAGCATATTCAGTTTCTTGCCAATTGTGTCATAGAACTTATTCGAGTGGACCTTCCAACTGCGTATCAACATGCATTTGTTTTTATCAGACAGTTAGCAATGCTTCTGCGGGATGCACTCAATATGAAAACTAAGGTATCATTAACACTTGTTTCTTAGAAAGTTTACTTCTGTAATTATCCATTTATCACCTGTGAATTAGAATGTCTTTGAGTCTAAATATTGTGATAGTGGAAGATCACATGCAGCACATTTTCTTTTTTGTTGTCTTTTGGTGTTTGTTCCCTTTTTGTTTTGCCTAAGCAATGCTTCATTTCTCACCTTTCTTTGCAGGAAGCGTTCAGAAAGGTTTATGAGTGGAAGTTCATAAACTGTCTTGAACTTTGGACCGGAGCTATCTGTTCCTATAGCTCAGAAGCTGATTTTAAGCCTCTTGCTTATCCATTGACCCAAATTATTTCTGGGGTTGCCCGTCTAGTTCCAACTGCTCGATATTTTGCACTCAGATTGAGGTGTGTTAGAATGCTCAACCGGATTGCTGCTTCTACCGGTACCTTTATTCCTGTTTCTATGCTTCTTTTGGACATGCTGGAGATGAAAGAGTTAAATAGACCTCCCACTGGTGGTGTTGGCAAAGCTGTTGATTTGCGTACAACACTGAAGGTAATTTTGACATGTGTTGTATTTTATTCCAGTTAATATAAAGGAGCTCTATTCCTATTTAAATTTGGACAATTTTCTTTTCCAGACAAGCAAGCCCATTCTGAAGACACGAGCCTTTCAGGAGGCATGTGTGATTGCTGTGGTTGAAGAGCTTGCTGAACATTTAGCTCAATGGAGCTATTCTGTTGCTTTCTTTGAATTTTCTTTTATTCCAGCTGTGAGGCTGCGCTCCTTCTGCAAATCTAATAAAGTTGAAAGATTCCGAAAAGAAATGAGGCATCTTATTCGTCAGGTACATCCTTTGGATTGATTATCATGTGTCCTCCTGCCCCATGTGCTGGAGATGTCTCAAAATTGGAGTAATGGAAAACAATTTCTTGTATAAACATGCTCCCTTTACATGCTGCAAATTTTTTGGTGTGTACTACTGATTTTTTTCCTGTCTTTCACATCAGATTGAGGCTAATATTGAATTTTCTAATGAAAGGCGTGCGTCAGTTGCATTTCTACCAAATGATCATGCAGCAAGTTCTTTTCTTGAGGTCTGCGCAATTATTGTTACTTAAATTTTCCATCAATGCTCCTGCTGTTGTCCTGTTTAAGCATGTGAGCTGCATAATGATGTTTGTGTTCCATTATTTTGTTATATGAAGGTCTCTTGAATCTTTGGCTTAACATACTTGATTAACCATCACATGAAGATTTATGATTTGGTATCACATGAAGATTTACTAAGCTCTTTGTTGCTCGTAGGATGAGAAAAAGATGGGGACTAGTCCTCTCTCACAATATGTTGTAATTCTGCGGCAAAGAGCACAACAAAGAAATGATTCAATGATGGAATCCAGGTCTATGATCTTGCTCTTTGATTGGGATCATCCTATCTATATTGTAATTGTGTTGAGACAGCTAGTTTAAACAGCATGCATGTAATTTTCAGTGTTCTTGTGGGTGAAAAATCTGCTGTCTTTGGGAGTAAGCTTGATCAGGTACCTGGTAGTGACGAAGAAGATGATATCAGGAATGAGGATGGTGCTTCTGTTTTTAGTTCTTCCTGGTTCCCAGGAGGTGATTCCAGGTTTGGCTTGCCATATTTGCCTCTCTCTCTCTCTCTCTGTCTCTCTCTCTCTCTCTCACACACACACACACGCTCTCACGTGTGCAAAGAGATATATGCATGCGAGTACTTATATTTTCTTTGCCATCAATGATCTTTTTTTACTGTGTATAATGTTGGATTGCCAAAAACTATTATCTGACGCCATTATCTTCCAACAGGGCCAAGCCTCCTAAGGAGGAGGAGGAGGAGAAGAACAAGAAGAACAAGAAGAACAAGAACAAGAAAAGGATGGAACAAGATGAAGGGGTTGGTGAGGATGAAGATATTGTGGAAGACTTGGTACTGAGTTCAGATGAAGATGCGTCTTTGAGTAACTCCCCATCTACTGGGGATGATGAAAATGAAGAGCGGCTGGGTATCAGACAGCAGAGCAAGAAGCAAAAACATAAGAATTTATCAAAGAAAAGTTTAAGATCTCATGCAAATAAATCAAAGAAGAGAAAAAGAGCTCATTGACAAAATCTTTTAACTGACCATACGCCGGTCTTGTATGTGTTTATTGATTTTATTTTTCATTTTGCTAATGGATTATTGATTTTTCAGTAGTAAAAAGTTGGAGCTTCAACTTGACTAGTTACTCAAGTAAGTTGAGTTCAAGCTTGGTTTGATGGTCAAGTTTGAGTGTACATCAAATTGAATGACATATGAACTTTTGATTCATGGATAAATTGAAAAAATAGCATATCAAGATTCTAAGTAGTAACAAATATGTAAGATTTAAGGAATGCCACCAAAACGAAAACCCATCACATTCCCTGCCCCTGCCACCGATGACCATCCATAACCGCCACCAGGACCAGGTTCCCAAGTGGAGATCAGCTCCAACGGCCCTGGATTTCTAGGTTCATGGTTTACCGGCTCTGTCCTCAAACGCGCTACTTCAAGAAACCCCAACAAGTTCTTACTCCAATACACCCACCTTTTCCAAGACGAGGCCGGGACTAAACCCTTGAAGGAGACCATCACCGAGTGGGTATGTACGTCCTCTGGCCCCTCCAGAAAGAGCACGAAAGTTTAAGTTTACAATGACGGCTGGTGGGAAGGGGAGTTTACTAAGGAGTTGGAGAATGGAAAGTTTCATGTTTACTTCAAGTATGGATTAAACATTTAGTTCCAGAACCTTTATTAACGATTGAAAATTTTGATTTGTTAAAATCGCGTCACTGTATTTTCTAAACATCTGGAATAACAAAAATCAGTGACAAGATGACAGTGAGACTATTGCGCCTGTCTGTTTTCTTAATCAAACTAAGTTCTTGAATGTGTTGTAAAGACATTTGTATTTGTTTGTATGGATGCATGAGAGATTGAGAGACATTGTTTTACATTTATAAAATAATAATAATAAAGATGTGTGTGATAACGTGATTAAACATAAGTTACCCATCAACAATTTCATGCCTGCTCGTCAAACGATGGCAATTTGTTCCATCTTTTCAAATGGTTGGCAGGTGGGACGTAACTTTCATAATGTGGCTTATCCTGCACCCATTTCTTTCTTCCAAGTTTCAATTTGAAACTTTAACAAAAATGTATACCATGCACCAATTATGAAAAATGTGCTTGTACAAGTTTTTTACTAATGCTTGGTTGATTGTGATTTGCTTTTACTCAGGCATTAAAGTCATGATTGCTGCAGAAGGAGACGTATCAAGCATGTGCATGATCACTGGATGATTAGATCATTCATCATCGACAATACTCTAGCTTGGGGCCTTTTCTCTGAATTAAAGTAAAGCCAAATCTTTTCTGCTTTTCAGCTATTACATTTGGTGCTGGTGATTGCTTCTGTCACCAAATTTAGGCATTCATTAGGGATTTTTTGAGACGGTAATTTGACCTTAAAAGTGACTTGAACCAACTAGAGCATACTAAAACTTCGGTTGTATAAATGGCCTACTCTTTCCAGGTCTATTGACTTTTCCCTAGTATTCTCAGTGACGGATTAATGATACATTTCTTTCTCATACAGTCTTTTGGCGGCTTGTTTCATGAAATCGCTGAAAATTACTTTTAGGACGCACTGGCTGTAATGGACTAAAACAAAGTTGGTGGTTCAAGCATTAAAATAGAGTTGACTATCTCAACTTGAGGGTACGACCTTAAGAATGAATATTACCATTTGTCTTATATCATGGTCGAAGTTTGAGGCCCCAAACCTGGCCTTGGCCAATTTGTTTAAACGATTAGGTGGAGGTTTTAGAATGGGCCATCTAATGAGTTCTGTTGGCGGAAGAGGTAAGTCGTTGAGTGGTAATAGTATTATTTAAGGCAGTAGGGCAGTAGGTGCTACCATGAGCCTCAGATTGTGTGATTTGGATTCCAGAAGAAAAGGTTATTATCTTAAGATGATCGATCAATCTTGAAAATTCAAGAATTATTGTAGTAGTAGTAGTATTAGTAATCAAATTATGCATTCTCTTTGAGCCACAAATGAATAAATGAACAGTAAACAAAGAAGAAACATAGGCCTTTCGTAGATATTTTTTACTTAAAAAGCATGTGGTTGCTTCCAACAGGTTGAAGCAACAATGCGACGTAGATATCTTAGGTCCTAACTGAGGTCCTAACTGAAAATATGATGTAGATCTTAATATCATGCAATGCAACATTGGTTTTCTGAATTTGTTAATCGCCTTTTTTTATTGATTGCTAATAATGATATTAGTGACAGACACTAGTAAAAGACACAGCACACATCCAAAAGGAGAGAGAAACCATGAATTAACCCACAGACGAAGCCTGCTCCTATTGGAAAATGAAACTCCTCTATGTGTCTAGGCCTCCTGCACTTCCACAGCCCCATTGACTTCCTTTTCTCCGGTCTCCTCCCTGGCTTTCTTAACATCACCTTCAATCTCAAAAGCTGATACAGGGAAAGATCTGGACAGCCCTGCAGGGGTCTTGAAAGTGATCTTGCCAGTCGGTGGATCATCAACATAGATATCACTGAGTGTGATCCAAACCAAGAGCTCCTTGGTCTTGACCCCAGTCAGCCTCTTGATCTTGTTTTTCTCAACAACAGCTGTGACTTCAGTGGCATAGGAAACAAGTTTCCCAATCTTCTCAAACTTGTGGGTTATGCTCTTCTTCTGTTTGAGCCACACAAAACCTGTGTCCTTCACATACCCACATTCTTCGATATCTTTCAAGGGCAAAAGCCCTCTGGGCATGCCCACTTCCTGAAGCAAAAATTTTGATTTCTCTTGACAGATCTCATCTCCATGGTAAATTTCTGACGCACTGGCTTTGATCTCCTCGGTGACAAGAGACATCTTCTTTCTCTAGAACTTGAAACTCGTCAACTTGTTGAGAAAGATGTTGACGAGTGTAGCGAAGAGGATGGGTATTGATATAGTTGTCACGCTATTTATCCACCCTTGTGGTGCCAAAATATTTCCTTAATGCCATTGTGGCAGTCGTGCATGCATGCATGCCTCGACCACGATTCTGTTCGGCCAAGGCTGGGCTTAGCCAGAATCCCTGGGCATTCCGGGCTGCTGCTTAATGCTATTTTAGGTGCTTAGGTGAACTAACATATTCTACACAGCTACCTTTGTATTTATGACACAGTTGGAAATTTATTGCACAGAAAGAGTGTTTGAAAGGAGTTGCCAATACGAATACGCCAAGTGTCATTTAGTTGGGAGGGGAAACCATTTATTTAAGTGACGCATCACGTAGCCTGTCCGTGTTTAAGATGAACCATAAACGGGTGGAAGTTCGTAGAGCAAAAATACAACGCATTTAATGCTGGCAGGCAAAACTGTTATTCTATTGTTGTTGCTTGATGAATTCCAATAATTAGATTCATCCCTATTCCCTAAAGAGTCTCTAAGACCAAAAAAAAAAAAAAAATTGGGAAATCACAGATGTTAGTAATGGAGGATTACTAAAATGAGGAGAAAACTTGTACTGGTAACATGACAATCTTAACAACAAGACCACATATTCAACCACTTGGGTTGTTGACATTAAGACGAAGAAAATGAAATGATATGAAATGAGGAGTCTAAATATCATTATATCACCATCCTAATTACTTTAAATCAGAGCATGTGAAAATCACTGGGCTCTGAAACTTCTTTACCATCACTGAATGGTCGAAGGAACCGCCTTTAATATTTTGCGGTGTCACCGGGAAGGGTGTGTAGTTATGGCCACGGTCGCTAGAAATATGAGGTCCACCATGTCTGTGTCTTTGCTTTGTACAAACAAGTCATTGATAATCACTTGTCACAATTAATATCACTGTTGCAATAGTGTCAGCATTTTCTCGCCCAGTCAGTGAGCCTGAACTAAGCCTGGTAAATAAAAAGCCTGACCTCTGGCCTCTGAATAAAAAAAACTTTTTGCCTATATCAAAGATGAATACTAGCATCATTCAAAACCGGGAATTATTTTCCCTGAATATTGGCAAATTCATTGACTATCAATAATAAACAATTAATAGATGTTGACAAACTTGCAGGCCTAAAGGTGAAAAGAATCGGCTGATTGCCCTTGTCTACCGGCAATATGGAACACAAGGAGGGTGAACAGGGAGCATTCTGATTGACAAGAGTTAGGGTATACATAGATGACATATGACAGGCCACTGTTGCAGGTAAACTGGAATAGTTCCATTGCCGGCAGGTGACAATCTTGGCCCAACAATTTCCAAGGAACCATCAACTGGTTGCAGCTTTTATATTGTTATGGTCCTCCATTCCCATTCCATGACTGTAATTGTTTAGCAAGGATTCAATGTGTTTGATCTCTTTTGGCATTGATCCAGTAAGAACCTGTTTCAATATTCAAAAAACCACAAGGATTACTGACCACAAACTAAAAATTTAATAATAATTGTGAAACTTTAATTAACAAGGCATAACTACGAGAAAAAACATCTCGTAAATGCCCCCACCCAAGAAGCCTGAGAGAATAAGCTCTCGTTAGCTACAATTATGCCCGTTTTATTCCAACCACTTTAATTTATGTATAATAGTTTACTGAGCATGTCAGCATCAAATAGAAAAGATATCCTAAAGAATAAAAATGCAAAGGTATCAATAACCATCTTTGAAAGATTATTATCAGCAAGAACAAATAAAAAGATAACCTTAAGAATGAAAAGGCAAAAGTAACAATAACCATCTTCAAGTGGCTATTATCAGCAGAAAGGCCCATGATTGATGAAACAATCACAATTTATCTAGTTTTGGTCTATGATAACATTATATGAATGCAATTTGAATTTTTACCTCACAACCTGTTTCTGTAATCAGAACCTCATCCTCAATCCTTATTCCCATGCCTTGGTACCTGCAATACATCCTCATCAAGTAACTAGCACCAAGAGTCTGATCTTTTTAATCTACTTAGGACACATCTTACTAAGGACTCCTTACCATGGTAAAAACTTCAAAATGCAAAGAGTCTGACATTTTCAATCTGATGTCCTCATATATAAACAAGGACTTTCTATCATGATAGTAAATTTTCAAAATTATATATAAACCCAAATATTACTCTTTCCAAGCTGTAAATGAAAAATAGCTTCTTAAACCGTGAAGCAATATTTATCATCTACTGATTACTCAGTCACAGATGTGCAGTGTTAGATTGAAGGGACAAAGTCAACGAAAACCTCATTAACTATATGCACTCAACAAGCCCTCGGTTCATCTTGCTTATGACCACTATAGCACCCAATGACACAAACCATAGCAAACCTACATAGAGGTACATGTGAAAAGAAAAGTAAGATAATCCTTAATCAGCTGTCATGACATAATAGAATTTTTTCATGAGAGTGATTATTCACACTTTGAGTTGCCATATTCATAGAATTAAGCAAGCATCATAAAAGATATCAAGGCATGGTTCATACATAATCTTAGGTTCTGAATTTACAAAGGAACTTTTATTTAGCTACTCCATAAATACCTCTCTGAACTATCAAAACTAGATGGGATATAGATTCCTGGCTCAATGGTTATCACCTGCCATGGTCAGTAAATTCACATCAACATTCCAGTAGATAAAGTTTAAGATGGAGGATACTATATCACCAGTGCAACCACCAAGAAAACAATTACTCCTATTGCTTACTTTATGCAAGAAAATTTCTTGAAAGTGCAAAAAGATGATATTCCAGCAAATAGTAGGTATATAGAACAGAAAACTCTAATATCTAAAACCATCTACTCCCAGATGGTGCAAAATATGAAGTAAGTTGAAAACATCGACAATGGTTTTCACTGAAAGAGATAACTTACTACTCCTGGCTTCAAAGGACGGTCATAGCTGATCATGGAACTATCATGGACATCCATTCCTAGATAGTGACCTGGCATAATAATCATTTGATTCACAATTTTGAAAACCAATACAATGGACAATAATATTTTGAAAACCTGTTTGTCATAACAAGGTCATGTTTCCAGACGAATACTAAAAAATTTGTCAATGGAGGCTTAGACGAACCTATAGAAGTTGGGTTCAATTGGTGATACAATCTAAAGTCATCCCCTTTCATAATCCCAATTTCCTTCAGTCCTTTGCAGAGCAGTTCAACCTAAAACAGCACACAACTTTACATGATCAAATTATTCCTTTACAGCTCAATAATGCCTACACTTCAAGCAGTTGTCAGATAGATATAAAAAGTAATGCTTATTCCACAAGAAAATAAAAATTGGTAAAAATATACTCCCTTGAAGGAAGCAGAGAGATCATCTAGGTCATTCCCGCTTCACGATACATTAGATAGCTCAATATGCCATGAACTTACAATAACAAACACAACTGTGCCAATGCCATGAAGATGAAAAAGTAAACATTGAATATGATCAATGACTGATTTGGGAAGTATAAGAATACAGCATGAGTATTAAAGAAGCGTTACTGGCCACTTTTGAGTAATTGAAAGCTTAAAATAACAAAGAAAAAATGAGGAAACAATATGGATAAAATCTGATTTGTTCACAGTCGGGCTAGATTATAGCTACCATGAACTTTAACAAAATACATAATGAGAAACCTAATAATTATAAGGTTGAAAACTGGATTCAATGAGTGTATACACATACTAAATTCCTTTTACAAATTGATTTTTTTATTTTAAGTTGCATGTATAGTTCAAAGATGTGCTGGTAACAAATGAACCATGTGTTTCCAAACATTGGAAGGTACATTGCTTTTTGTTTAAGAAGGAACCAGACATCATCCCCTCTTGTGGAGAAACATCAGCATCCAAAAGATGACACACGGATAATGAAAAGAAAAGGATGCAAGGAAATTAAAATCTATGATTTTAAATTCTTAATAACATACCGAATAGTTGTGTATTTGACGGATGCTAGAACCAGGTTTGCAAAGCCTCATACATTCCTTGTTTGTTTGTAGTATGAGATCATAAAGCTCCTCCTGAAAAATTCAGAATCACAGCTATAATCTTCTCTACTCACGTTATGTGCCCAGTTACATAAATAGCAGATTAACATAACCAAAGCTTTTTAGGGAGAAAAGGAAAAAATAAAATAAAGAAACCAAAACTTTGTTAAGGAAGTAAAATAAGAATCTTAAACAATAAAGAGAAGCAGTTACTATCTAATAGATAAAGACATGCTGCATATTTCAACCCCATTACAGCAATCAAAATGAAAATACCTTCATTGCATGATGAAGAAAGTGAACAGTTTCACTACTACTTTTCTATAAGCTTAGAACACAAATTCACATGAAACAAACTGACTATACAAAAGCATTTTCTGATGTTCCAGAATCTAATGGACGATGGTGCATATTGAAACTTTCTTTTGCAGTTGCCGTAAATTTAACCGTGGGAAAACATCCAACAGAGCATACTTGTACAGAAGAAAAGCTTCCACAGGGTGGCCAAGTGCGAGTAAGATCACTGCAATAACCATGCAGCTCACATCCCATATCCATCAAAACAAGATCCCCATCTTCAATCTGAAAGACAACTAACAAAGTCAAATCTTAATACTGATCATCATCACATCAACATGAATAAAATCTTATTTGCACTTTTTTAGTGACTTAAAAACCAGATAACAGCTCCCAATAAAGAAACTTACTTTCTGATCATTTCGAGAATAATGTATGACACTACCATTAGGCCCACCACCAACCACAGGGTTAAATCTGGTGAAGGACAATGAAACTAATGAGTTAAAACTATTTGGAAGATAAGTTCACAATGATAATTGACTACCAGAGCAGCTAGTATGTTTGTTGCCTCCACCAAACATGATTTGGCATTAGCAAGGCGGGCTTTCAAGTCTTTTACAAAGGCAAAAGCTTACGCCATTCTCTGAGCACCTCTCATTCTGCATTCATATTCAACCTGTGCTGATAGCATGCCCTCATGAGGACATGTTTTTGAATGCAACATTGTCTGCAAAAGAGCCTGTCCAAGAGCAAGATATATATTATATATGAATATCGGACAGGTAACTACCTAGTCAACACTAAAAATATTCCATACCAACAGGGGCATCAATGTTAAGTAAAATTTCGTTTACAACCACAAAATAATGTTGATTTACTACCTGACACTCAGATATTTCTAACCTAAAAAGGCTTGATAGCAAAAAATAAAAATAATGCAAAATATATGTGTATCAGACATTAATCACATTATACAAAAATTCGGGTCAAGAGGGATCAACAGGGTAGACATAGGAAGTACCTGGCAAGCAATTGATGCAGATTCTTTCATTAACTTAAGTTCAGCAGGAGATTTTACCCAACGTAGCTCATGGGTTAAAATGGATAGGTCACTCACTTTCCCAAGATGAGCTGCCTTTTGAAAGGTCTCCAAATCTGAGTAGGTCAGTGTGGCTGTCAACTTATTGTGGAACAATCTGGAAGATCTTTTTATCATATCTGGAAGGATCTGCCAGGCATTATTTAAAAAATAATTTAAAAAAAAAAAGAGAGAAAGAAAGAAGCTATCTTTTCCTTATCCCATCATATATGCCAAAGCAAGAAACTTGTGCTATCATATCTACAAGGGATTATCATATCACCTTATCTAATTTGCTCATTGGATATGCTTTTTCAGCCTTGAAAATCTCCAGTGCTGCATCAACTCCAGCTATTTGTCCTTGCCAAACAATATCCTACATAAATCATAACTTCATAAAATTTCGACTGAATCAAAATGACAAGAAGGAAATAGATTATTTCATTCTCTCTACAATAGTAAAGATATCATTAACATCTTGTCAACCTACTTTCATGCCCAATGGCAAAGTCCAAATGAAACCATTCTTTTTTCAAAAAAAAAAAAAAAACAGCCTTTTTACTGCAAAATTAGGCAAGAAAAGCATTTAGTACTAAAATATTTAGTCGTACAACATCAACATACACGGGCCTTTGCTTCTGGCATGAACATGCATAAACCACACTCATGACCTAATAATGCCACTCCACCAGGTTGTTGGCAACCAGTAAGATATAGGTAATCTGCATCTTGTCGAAATGTATAAGGCACAACATCAGTCATCATCTTTACAGGGGCAGCAGCAATGATGGCCAAGCTTTTTTCTGGGAGAAGTTCCAACAATCTTTTTCGTCTAGAGATGTATTCCTCAGTACTTATACCAGGTGTAATTTCCCCTTCCATCATTAACTGCCAGGTAAAACATGAAGTAAAAAGACCATAGAACAAATACTACATTAAACATAAAGCACACTTAAAAGAAGCCTGCTTCTCTTTGTCCAAGAAGCAGACCACATCAAGTTGCCATTTTATCCACAATAACCCCAATTATTTGCAGAGTAATCATCCAAAGGCAGATTCATCACACTTCCCAGATCTCTACCACATTTTCTAACATCAGAGTGATGAGGACATGTTAAGAAGCACACCTGAGGATGAGATGACGGAGTTGGTTGTCCAAAATCTGAGATTTTCTTAGTAGAATATGTATGGCGACTAATAGCCTGTTAAGTATTTTAAAATGAGGTTAACGGTCAGACTAATCACTCATATTTTCAAGTAACAGAGAATCTAAATTAATAAGTATTCCACCATCCAAGCATGAATTTTGTCTGAGTGAATACTTGATAGCAGGAACCGAACAAATAAAAGTTACAACCTTACACTTCAGTCTTCATTCAAAGAAAAAGAACAAGGGGAAAAAGACTAAAACCTTTGAACGAGAAGACTTGTCATGTTGATATAACATGGAAGTATAAAAATAGGTTCATAAATAAAACCTTCAAAATAATAATGGGGATAAAGAAAAAGAATTCGAATTTGGTAAAAATAAGCATCTTTACACTGCAAAGATCGTAAAGCAAGTACGCAACATTCTATAGCTATAACAAAAAAGCTCCAAAATTCACGAATGGTGTGATCAATTCCAACTTAATGGACCAACTAGGAAGTAGCCCATTAAAAGTTTAATTCAGCAATCATGTACTAATGTCTCAAAAGAAGGAAAATAATAGAAAGATGTTTAATTGAACCAAAAGCCTTGAGCACCTATCATTTGAAAAGTACCCACTTGATAATTCAATCCAACAATCATAAAACCATGAGTGCTATAATGAACAAAAATGATATTTGGTAATAGCATTTGGAGAGACAAGGAAAAAGAACGATACTTGTTTGAAGGATAATTGGTGCAGCAGTTTCCTACTCAAAATCTTCATTTTTGTTGCTTCCTCTGTTGGGTTAACAGGTATGTTTGGCCTCAATGTTTATTCAGAAGATAGATAAATAGTAAGAGATTTTGCGTTTGTGGTTTGGTTTGTACGAGGTTTTGGGAAGTGAAAAGTTTGTTTCAGTTTAGGGTTTACGACTTGAGAGGAGTTCCCGCAGGCACTCGGTTACCGAACGACCGAAGGGAATCTAGCTGTCTCTCTTTTGATTTTATTTTTTTTTCATTTTTCCTATTAAATGATTGAGAGCAACTTCATAAAAGTTAAATTTTGCTACCATTAAAACAGATTTTTTTTTTTTTTGAAGAGAATTTTGGAGCTTCATTTGACTTTACAAGCAATCACGTTTTTAAGTTTCCAAGTAGTTTCAAGGACCATGTTCTCGTGTTGTATTCACTTCGGTTGCAATAGAGAAACCAACAACAACCCACAGTCCCACACCAATTGCTGGAAGAAGAATGTTGTTTGAATGGAATCGAGGGATCTGACAAAAGAAGACATATTTCCTTGCATCTATCTTCTTATAAATTGACAAGCCAGCAAACTAAAATGATACGTAGTTCCGATACCAACTAGCAGTCACTAAACTCTGAAATGTCATAAAACTAAAATCCAATCACCAAGGAGAACTACTGGCTTTGCAACCCACAAACTAAAAATTAGTCGCCGCTACATTTGAAACAGCCTTTTGTCTATGGAACATTGCATATGCACCACTTTTGAGCAAGGGACTTTTAGAATTTAGCCTCAAACAATTGATTATTCAAAACAAGAAGCAGAAATCAAGCCTTGAACAGGACAGACACAGACAAGCCTCACTATCAATGACTTTAGTACAAGAAAAGCATTAATGCTAATTTCAGATTTTAGCACAATCACAAGGAATATTTTTCCTATGGAATATAGAAAAATATAGAAGTACCAATCAAGTTTAAAACCCCTTCCAAGTTTCAACACATTTCAAATATTTCCCACCAAAAAAAGAGACAGCAAAAGCCTTTACGCCAGAACAAAAACCCTGACTCCTTGGCAAGGATGAAAATGCAAACACAAGTCTAAAAATTTCGCTGCCAGGAAAGTAGTAAGACCTACAAAACTAGTGCCGAAGTTCCCACACTAAACACTTCAACCAAATTTGAAGCCCCCAGGAGGAACGCTGGGCTGATTAGCTCCAAAATTAAAGCCTTGCTGATTTTCATTCCCACCATCATGGAGATTCTGTTCATCTTCTTCTTCTTCAGCCCAGTATCTCTCCAATATCTTCACAGCCTTCTCATAAATCTCATGGTTGTCATGACTTTGAAGGTTTTCAATTTTATCCAACCCATTATATTCATCAATCATTTGTGCATACAGATTGATTCCACCGTTCATTCCCATTTCCTTATCAGCCTCACCAACCTTCAGAACGTTCTCAAGCCCCTCGAGGCACACAGTCACAATCCGTGGATCTGGACAAATTAGAAGATCACAGAGTGGCTTAATGCCACCTTGGCTCACCAGGAATCTGCAAAATAACAGATCATATGAAGTTTGCCACATTCAAGGCGGCATCCGCGTCACTGTCTCACATGTGTATGATTAAGTGAAATGGATTAGAACAATTATTATACAAGGTTGCTCAAATGAGGACCAGAGAAAGATATTTTCATTACACATTGACCAGAAAAGTATGGCCAATAGAGCTGCTATTCACATATTAAATATTATATCTTGACAATCTAGATGCATGATCTAAAAATTGATTTGTCAACATATTTATGACAAAAGAAATTGGAAGCAAGAGAAAATAAGGACATTTATTATCCTGTTAACTAAATAATTTAGTTGAGTATACCGACAGTTCATGACCCATTGATATCTGAGTATACATGCGTGCACCATGATGCTGATCTTGTATTTGAACAAAATATCAGCCCATATTCTCCAGTGAATCTACATGTGGAGGTTCACATGTGTTCATGTGTCTTTTATAAACATACATGAATGTCTGATCCAAAAAATGAAAAGTGAAATGTAAGCAAAAAGGGACCAGGAGATACTGAATCTGCTCATGAGATCCTCCAGAGGTGGCATTTGAGATGGCCCATGCAGCCTCCTTCTTAATGTCAAACTCTGCATGTTGGAGTAGGTGTACAAGGGGAAGAATAATATTTGCCTCAATAACTGCCTGTGCCACAGAAAATCAACAAATAATCAATAGCAATATGGGTGCCTCTAATTTTGAAAGACACTGCCCCAGAACTAGTATTAATTGAAGTCACAGTTCAAATAAGCAGTGCTTCAATTGCAGTGAACTAAAATTTGCAGCATGTTATTAACAATTTTAAAATTATCACTAACACATAAAGGACACAATTGGCACTTCTTAGGCAGCCAAAGAAAGATAATTGAATTATCATACCTTTTGGTTGCAGCACACATTAAGGCAATAGAATATTCAAAAAAAGAATAGGCAGAGCGAGAAACTGTACCTGTATTTGAGCTCTATTCCCAGCTGTTATATTAGAAATTGTCCAACAAGCTTCTTTCTTGATGCTTTTTTTGTGATTTTGTACAAGAAGTTGATAGAGATGAGGAAGCACCTTGTTGTCAATTACAAACTAAAAAATATACCTGCAGTTACTTTGCAGTTTTTAAAGGAAAGAAAGAAAAAACTTCACAACAATTGTTTATCTTTGTATAATCACAACAATAAAGTTTTGAAAAACTGATTCTATTTAAAAGAATATGTAGTTTGTTTACTATATCCTAACAATTAGATTAAAGATAATTGATGACAATCGAAAGGAAACAAATAAAGTGAATTCAGTAAACAATAGAAAAGAATATCAACCAGCATCAAACAAAAACAGTAATGATGCCAAGACTGCGGTGAACATGCATAAATGTACTTCATACCTGAGTCTGATTATCATCACCAGTGACAATGTTTCCCACAGTCCGAAGAGCAGGTATAAGAACTGTAGGCGATGGATGACTGAAATAATTAAATTTTGGTCAGCACCAGTAGTCAAAATATTGCAGTACATATATAACCCACAAAGTATACAGACATAAAAACTATTAACAGTAGCCAAAATGGAGAGGGTGCATGCTGAGAAAATGATTACAACCTAACAGTAGTTAACATTCAAGTATTTTGTAGAGTATTACAACCTATCGGTAGTTAACATTCAAGTATGTTGTAGAGTATCATAAGCTTACCCTAGAAGTTCCACCAGTCGTTGGCAGACCCCAGCTTCAATCACAGCCTGAATTTTGTCATTTGTGCCATCTGAAAGATAGGATAGTGCCCAGCAAGCATCTGTCAGAACTTCTTCATCATTCAAGTAGATAAGTTCCCGTAGAATTGGTAAAGCAGGCTTCACCTGAAAAGAACACAAGATTTTTGTCAAAACCTCCATAAGTTATCAAAACATATTGTGCCAAAAATCAATAATAAACTAATCGTGAAAACTTCTCTTATCACAAATTCAACAGAAGCCTCCCAAAGTCTCTACCTGCTCAAATGGCGTTGGAGGCTTGCCACGGCAGAAATTAGATAATGTCCACGTAGCATTCCTCAACATGGATAATTTGGAGCGTTCATTTAACTGAGCTAACAATGGCATAAGTGCACCATTACCAAGAACTAGATCTCTACAACTTGGTGAATCACCCGCAACATTACCTAAAGCCCATACAGCCTAAGCAAAAAATAGGGTAAGGATAGCAATCGCATAAATTGCTGCTGCTATGCAATAGTTAATAGAACACATACACACAAATTAAATGTGGTTAAACATAAAAAGGACAAAAAAAATGATGCAAATAAAATATAGTGTAAGGAAATAAATTCCAACATAAATTACTCTAAAAGGAGGAAGCAAAGCAACTTAGGACATGATGGAAAATATGCTAGAGTGACAGGTTAAGCACATGTAGAAAATGTAGAACTAAAACATTAATGATCTAAGTTACATGGAAAGTAAGAAAATTTTATCACTCTACACGGTTACAGACGATACAGATGAGTTAATGAAACAAGAACAGACCTGCTCTCTAACATCATCACTAGCAGAGCTAAGCAGTTGCACAAACATTGGGACAGCACCATGTTCAATAACAACCCGTGTGTGCTCAGATGTGCCAGAGGCAACGTTGGTCAAAGCCCAGGCAGCCTCAAACTAAAATCAAATGGAACTCAGTCCCAGTAATAATAATATTTCCTAAACAAATTATTTTAATTCAAACAAAAGAAACAAAACACTGTACTTGCAATTGGGGCACATCCTGCCTTCCAAGAAACTCTACAAACCGAGGGACAACTCCAGCTTTGATCACTTCATCAATTGGAGGACTGCGCTCTACAAGCAAAGCAGATAAAAGTCAATAACGTAAATCGCCATACTCCTTAACAAAAGAACTGTTTTAAGAATAGGAATTAGGAAATAATGCTTACCTATTGACAACAGCTTCCTAAACTGAGTTGTGGCTTCTAACTGTGAGGTAGGATCGTCAGACCACACCCCTTGTACCATCAAAGGAATATTTTCCAACTGTTGGATATCATCAGGAATACTATGTTCAGGATCCAAATAATCAAAAGCCTAAAATTTGGAGGATCAGAACCATAACAAATCCTTTCCTGCACTTTTTCAACATTCAAGCAGGATTGATGTTTGGATATCCTAACTTCAAAAAGAGTACATGTATAGACATTTAAATTTCCCAAACCCCAAACGATAAAAGAGATAAGATCTAAAATGCTAAGTCTTTTCCTTACCTACATCCATTTTATCAGCAAAAAAACAAAACAGCCAATGGATATTGGAAGAAAACACTGCTCCCCATGCTTCATTGAAAAGCTACTAGATCATAGAATATCAGAACATTGTCATTCTAATCCACAACCTTAAACCCGCTCTTTCCCCTTTCTTTTCAAATTAACACAAACAGGAAATTAAGACAAACCCTTCAATCAAAAGGTACTCAGATCTCAAAACCAAAACAATGAAATAATAAAGTAGCTACCCTATTAAATACGCATAAAAATTAAGAACCCAAATCTCCATGAATCTATTCATTTTTCTAACTGAAGGTACTAAAAGAAAATCCTTCCTTTCTGATCTTAAGAATTAATAATTCTAATTGAATAATAACGGCAATGATAACTAAGATAAGAAACACAGCAATAAGCTCAGTTGCATCAAGATCCCAAATTTTACCATCAACAAAATCAAACCCATCAATCGAAAACTCAAACAGTTGAAAACCATAACCAAGAAAACGAAAGGTACCCTTTTTTCGATAGTGGTAGCATTTTGGCCAGCATCGAGCGAAGGCTGCTGAGACTGAAGCAGAAGGCCTTCCCTCCGCTTTTTAAGAAGATTGTCTTCGCGCTTGTTCTTCCTGATCTCAACCAAATTGTCCTCTCTCCTCCTCCTGGCCTCCTCCGCATCCACTCCGGTCTTATAACTCTTCTTCCGCGCCTCAGTTCGGGTACCTGGCCGAAGCGACATTCTATCCTTTTGAATGCTTGGGTTTGTATACTTGTGTTTGTAGAAATGACACTGAAGAAGAAATGAAAGGGAGATCGCGGGTGGGCAGTGGACAGTGGTGGCGGTGGAGGGTAGAGACTAGAGAGAGATTGTGACACGGTCATGCAAATGGGCTGGGCCGTCCTTTCCAAGGATTAAAAAACAAATAAATATATATATATAAAAAAAAAAAAGAACTGTCTCTATGGTTATTTAAAAAAAAAAAAAAAGAATGTGAGATCCATTCCCAAATATATTTTTAAAATTTTAAAATAAAAAATATATTATTCTCAAAATCTTCATGAGAATTTTTCTAAAATATGATTTAATAATGAAACAAAAAAAAATGCTAGACCCACGTTATTGTCAAGCATGGCCCGAAGACAGGGCTCATGGGCACTACGTAAAACTCCAGTCCCAAAACTCAAGCGGGATATGTCGTGGGTTGGCCATGCAAAAAGAAGGGTCCAAACTATCTTTATGCAGTATGTGAAATTAACTCCCAAAGCGAAGGCAACAAAAACAACAGGATGTAAGCATTTGGGTGGAAAAAAAAATAAAAAGAAGCTATATTTTTATATAAATATATATTGTAATTTCTAAATCAATAATTGATGATGGGTTGCATTGCTGTTTACATCATATTTATTTTATTTAACCTAGCGAAAGAGACCACACTCCTTCTTCTTGGTGGTCGTCAAAAATGTTGTTTATCAATACCTAACTGATCACCATGCATTTTCATACAGGAAATGACATTCTTCTTTGATTTTTTTTTTTTTTTTTGGTTTCCTCACCTTTCAAAGGCCCTAAAAATTTATTCACCAATGAATTATCCCTTTCTATCTAGTTCAACACATCTTACCATCATTTTAATTTTTATTTACCATTGTCTTTTGCTATGTTTGTGCAACTTTTCATTACTAACATAATGCCCAATTTGGATTAAAATTTCATAAAATAACCAAAAAAAATGGAAAATATACATACCTTCATGTTTAAGGAACACGCTTATTTAGCAAAAAAAATGAAAAATATATATACCTTCATGTTTAAGGCATAATCCGAACATTTGGGTTTAAAGATTTTAATTAAATAAATCTGATTTGTGATGGTGATTTCGTGATGACACCTACAAAATCAGAAGCCATTTGGTACAAGGGAATTATTCAAATTTGGCAGGTAAGCAGTTGCGTATAAGGACTATATATGTCAATGTTGACCTGTTCAAATGTCCAGTACTCCTCCCACCGATCACAATGTTCGCTCACATGCACCCACACCATTTCTTCAAATGTGAACTTCTTATCTTAACTGCCCTCCTTACTCCACATCTTTGTTTTCTTAATTATTTAGCCAACAATTTCATATGAGTCCTACGAAAATGGTTTTGTTTTCGAAAAATACTATATAAGATCATGCAATTAACACAACATCATCTGATGTTTCACCGTTCAAAATGTTCACAGGAAATTGGATGTTTATTTTCATCAAAACAAAATGAACTTTGTACAGATATAAAGTCATTCATGGCTGATGGCTACACTTTATCTCACAGGTAATTAAATTTTTTGTCTGAAATGAGTGGATACATTGTAGATATAATTATGGACTTGGACTCTGTGTCTAAGCTGATTGAGAAATGAGAACTAGACTAATCCAAATATCATTTCTGGTATTTTGCCTAGAGTTCAGACTCCTTTAGATTCATATTAACTAACCACATCTGTATAAAAGCTCATCCATATTTAAGAAAATGTCAAAAATTATGGATGGAAAACAACACAGCCCGAAAGCTTTTCTCTTCTTGCAAAAAATCATGGTCACAAAAATAAAATATACTTCCAGAGAAAATCTAGCAACTCCCATGCGCCACTCCCAATTCAACAAATATTCTTTTCTTGCAAATGGAGTAGAAATACTTTCAAAGAAAACATTGATGTTTCATATGGAAGAGGCACTCTTGAAATCTTCTTCACTCTTCCCCTACTTCTTGCTAGTAGCCTTTGAAGCTGGAGGGCCCTTAAGAGCTTTCGTTTTGTTTCTTTTGTACCCTATCATTTGTTTGGTTGGTAAAGAATGGGGGCTGAAGATTATGGTTTTTGTTTGCTTTGTCGGTTTAAAAGAGGAAAGTTTTAGTATTGGAAAAACTGTCTTGCCCAAGTTCTTTTTGGAAGATGTCGGGACTGAAGGCTTTGATATGGTGATGAAATGTGGTGGTAGAAAAATAGGAGTGACCGATATGCCTAGAGTTATGGTGGACTGCTTTTTGAAAGACTACTTGAGGGTTGAGGCTGTTGTGGGGAGAGAATTGAAGGTAGTTTGTGGGCATTTTATAGGCCTGATGGAGGAAAAGGAGAGCAGTGCTTTCCTGGAGCTGAAAGAGATTCTTGGGGAGGAGAGAATGGACTCATCTGTTATTGGCATCGGTTGCTTTCACAACTCCCTTGATCAGCAACTCTTTTCTTATTGTGAGGTTTGTCATTCTTGCCTGAATCTCTCTTTCCTTTCTCCTCCATGTTTTTTCTTTCGTTTCTAACTTTTATCAAAAGTAATTCTTCTGTAACTTCTGTTATGCTATCAGGTTCTTTACATGGTAAGTGAAGCTGACAAGAAGAACTGGCGAGCCCTTCCCAGGGCGAAATATCCAAGACCATTGATTTTCCATGATGGAAGATTGGCTTTCCGGCCAACCCCTATTGCTACTTTATTTATGTTCATGTGGATTCCATTCGGGATTTTCCTACTCTTTGCTAGAGCAACAGCCTTCTACCTGTTACCATACAAGTTGTCTGTGCCATTCTTATGCTTTACAGGTTTGAAAGGCACCTTAATTAGCTCCTTTCCTGACCGAGCTTATGATCATGAGCAGAAACAAGGGGGTGTGCTCTATGTATGCAACCACAGAACTCTGCTTGATCCAATCTATATTTCAATGGGTCTTGGGCAACCTCTGACTGCAGTCACATACAGTTTAAGTCGTGTTTCAGAGCTGTTTGCTCCAATTAAGACAGTTCGGTTAACAAGAAACAAGGAGAAAGACTCAAAGATGATAGAGAAGCAACTGAAACAAGGTGACCTAGTTATTTGTCCTGAAGGAACCACTTGCAGGGAGCCCTATTTACTCAGGTTTAGTCCTTTATTTGCAGAGATAAGCGATGAGATAGTTCCCGTTGCCATCGATTTCCAAGTTAGCATGTTTTACGGAACAACAGCCAGCGGATATAAATACTTAGACCCCCTTTTCTTGCTCATGAATCCAACAAGTCACTGCTCTCTTAGGATTCTTGGGAAGCTACCAAAATCTTTTACATGCCAAGGAGGAGGGAAATCAAAGTTTGAGGTAGCCAATCACGTGCAGTCACAAATTGCCGAAGCCTTGAATTTCCAGTGTACATCTTTGACAAGAAAAGACAAGTATATCATGTTGGCAGGAAATGAGGGAATTGTCTCTACCATATAATCAAAAGAAATCTTCTCAAAAGTTGGTTTCATTATTTGTGTGTGTGGAATATTCTGGGATATGGGGATTTGGGTAGTTGAAAATTAATCTTAGCTGCTGCTCTGTAATTGGACTTTTGTTTCCGTACAACGTTATGTTAATGATGAATAGATCAAATCTAATGTCACAATATTCTAAAGCAACGAGTGGAACTTTGTTTTGCTTTTTCGATGTTCTTGTTTAACTGATTTTCTGTTTCACTTGTTTACTGCATGCGGCAACAAAGGAACTTAGCTAACGTCAAGTTTTAGCATATGCATTGAATACACATGTAGTAACAGATAAATTCTAATGGAGGTAGAAGTATTTTAAACCTCACTCTAATTTATATATTTTTTAAATAACTATAATTTATATTTGTAGTTCTATTACTATAAAAAAAATAACATTATAATTTATATTGTAAGAAAAATATAATATTATTCTTGTTGTTTAAATATAAATACGATATAAACACATGAATCATTATGTTAAGCAATATTTTTATATCAATTTATACGAGTTCACATTTCATATCAAGTTATATGCAAACATTAATTAATTGTAAAGTAATTAGAATTTTTATTTTACAAAACAGAAACAAGTAAAAGTTATAAGATTTTTTTTTTTTTTAAAAGAAAAAAGAAAGGCTTTTAATTTTAAGTGAATATTGTTTTTTAACCATCAAAGCATATGAATCAATATATTATTTTTTTAAATTTAGGCATCAAAACGATATTTACTTCAAATTTTAGTTTTTTTTTTTTTAACAAAACAAAATTAAAAAAAGAAATTAATTTTAAGTTAATATCTTTTTGTTATGACCAAAATATAGGAATCAATTTTTTAAAATTTAAGCATTGAAAATGATATTTACTTCAAATTTGAGAAATGTCAAAAGCAATTTTCCCATTAAAAAATAAAAAAAAAAATTTTATTGGCCTAAATAAAACGGGGAGTTTTAGGTAGCCCAAAACTTCATCCCCTCCATCCCCCCCTCCCAACCCTGGCAAAAACCCCAACAGTTGCTCACAGCTAAACAGAGACCTAAAAGCTTTGCCTCTGTTTGCAAATCAATCCTAACGATGGCATGGATGCAAATTCTGAACAAGACAAGGGCATTTCCTATTTCAAGTCCATATGGGTTCTCGAGGTCCTTCTCCAAGTCCAGTCCTTTTATTGGTAAGATCTTCTCTTTGCATTATAAACAATAGCTAGAACATTAGTTAACTGTTAGACCGTAAACGAAACATTCCCTTGGTTCTGTTTGGTTCCTGGGAAAGCAATATAATATTATTTGTGCTTTACTTGTTAGTTTTGTGGGTTTTGCTTCTTTAGGCTTTTTGTTTGGCCGTTTGGTTAACTGTTGAGAGGAAGTTTATATTTTTCATGCTTCTAGTATTGCTCAGAAGAATGAAGAAATGAGGATAAAGTTTGAATCTTTTTTTATGGTTCACTGAACTTGCATGAATATCTGAATAATGCTAATTTGAGTTGGCTTGTTTTTTTTTTTTTTTTTAATTTTTTTATTTTATAAGAAAATGGTTGAAAAGAAGAGATGAAAAAGCTTTTTATTCATGTTGTTTAGATTATTAGGATTCTCAAGAAATTTCTGGCTAAAATAGCTACATAGACCTTACCTTATTCAACATGAACTTGGTCCTTTTTCATGTCTACAAGCTAAGTAAAAGGCTAAAGAAAAATTACCTGAACTAAGGCAGGTGATAAGGGTCGGTTTTCCCTTGTGTCGTAAGGAGAATTTATTTTCCCGAAAGTAATTATATTTTAAATGTCATTTCTTTGGATAATTGTAATCTTAAAATGGTGAAAAATGAATTTGAGAAGTGATCTTGTTATTATTGCAGTGAAGGTTGGAATACCAGAATTTCTGAATGGAGTAGGGAATGGGGTTGAAACTCATGTGGCAAAGCTGGAATCTGAGATTGGTGACTTTCAGAAACTCCTTGTCACCCGTACTCTTAAGCTCAAGAAACTTGGAATTCCTTGCAAACATGTAATAATTCCCAACTCACACTTTAAACATAAATTGTGTTTAGTATATATGCCTATGTTAGCAACTGCATGAACACTTATGCATCCTACTTTTATGCAATTATAGTTTGATTATCCAGTTATGCGGTATCATTAATAGCTTTTGTGTATATAAGTTTTTTTACTGCTCCAACAATGCTGCTCCTAGTTTAGGAGATAAAGTCCTAGCTTGTTGCTTATCAAACTGGAATTGCAGCTGGCTAAACTATTAAGATACTGTTCTTTTATGCCTTACTCTAAAGCCTTATGTTTATTATTTGCTTGATTGCTTAACATAGTAAGCTAGTTTGAGTGGTTCACTAGCATGTAACACTTAGGATCTACCAAAGCTTAAGCTTATGGATATGGGAGCTGACGAATAGTTTGAAAAATTAGGATAAAATAGAATGGAATTAAAATTGATAGAATGATTTAGCAGCTGTAGTTTAGAGTGTATTCTCATCTCTTTCAGAGGACATTGTTGGGCTGGGCAGTTTGTTTGTTGTCAGTGGGTTAGGCTTTACTTTTCTTGACATGAGCAGGTGATTGCTTTTAAGCTTGTATCATAAAGTTTGAGAACTTTGCCCTCTACCTTGTTAATTCTCTTTCTGAAAACAACGAAAAAACTTTTTACTGGGTTTTAGAGAAGATGCTTTTAGTGTTAGCTATTGAGCATGTGCTGGTTTATCATCAACCTTACAAGTTAGATCCTATGGCTAGGATTACTAATTGTTACATAAAGTGTATAATGTTTGCATAGATTCTTGATATGTGCAATTTTACTGCCATATTGTGGCACTTTCATCCATTTTTCCTAACAAAATTTAACACCCTCAATAATCTTGTTATCTTATGAATGTGTGTGTTTTTTTGGGTGTAAAAAGCTTTGCTATTTAAAAGGTATGTTTGTAGACTTGTCATTTAATTTCTACAAGGACTGAGTTAGTCATCCATGGTTTGGATTTTGGTCTTGCAGAGAAAGCTGATACTGAAATATGCCCACAAATATAGGCTGGGTCTGTGGAGGCCGAGAGCTGAACCCGTGGAGGCCTAATTAATAGGTCTCATTCTTCGGGAGCTATACTAAGATTTTGCTTTACCCCAGAATGGTGGAGGGACGAATGTTTCTATGCAAGACTGACAAAGTCTTGGGATTTTTGGCCTCTATTTGTAACCGTTGGTTACCTTTCTCGTTTCAATGGCCATTAAGTTTAGTGATCTAGGTCAATCTCCGATGCATGGCGCCCTGAATTTAGTGAAGCAAATTGGACTTGCTTGATATATTATTCTTCATCCAAATTATATGATTTCTTCTTGAGTGGTTCCGCTGCCCTTATTTAGTGTTCCAGTGTTTCACTTCCATCTGTTAATGTAATATCTGAAATGCATGTTTGCGTAAATTAACAGAACAACAAAAGGAAAGGACATAGCGAATCTGCAGTATTTCTGTGTAAGACCATGGCTGATCGGGTTCCAAAGCCTTGCATCAGCAGTATTCAATTCTGTCCGCTAATTGTTAATAGAGAAATAGGACTTTGGAATATCCAGACAGCAGAGCCCTTTCTTTTCTCTTTTGCGTCGAGAATTGAAAAAAATAAAATTAGCTTTCTAAACAAATTTCCGGATATATAAATTGCAATTTGCAACTCTGGCCTCTTAAGAGCAGTTGACTATTCATAATAGCAACGGCTGCTTTGGAGAAACTAATTATGTACCCCTCATTCCAAAGCTTTATGGACTCGATCATGTCAGTATCAGGACCAGCTCGACCCTTGATATCCCATTACCAAGAAATTTCGTTCTTCCATAACTACGTTCTCGAAAATCTCATTGAACCTCAAACTTGCTCTTATTCGCTATCGATAGCATGCAGTAAAGTTGCCTAAATAATAAAAAGGTATTAGACTGAATTGCAACCAAGTATGTCTGCACCACATTCAATAATTTTGCAAAACTTTAACATATCCGGGAGCAGTTCCCCTCAACCTACAATATTAAATCCATGTTTCATTGGATACTTGCAGAGCGAAAAAAATCGTAGTTAAAATGCTGTAAGAGGTGAAACAAACCAATTTCATCATAGCTCTACAGAAAAGCATCATACCTTGGTATATATGTGCAATTTTGAAGAACCCTAATCCAATCAGCATCATACATGAGAACCCAAAATACCTAAAAGGTAAATAGAAAAAAAAAAAAAAAACACGATTTCTATCAGCAAATATGAGCTTGAAAAGTCTAATGGGGAAAATAAGAAACCAACTTGAAGAAAAATAGTAATTAACATGTTCAATTGAAGGCCATTTATATAGTTTCATTGATGGCATTATAAGCACAAAGAAACAATTTAAAAAACATGCAAATTAATCCTGGGGTGGCAAGCTTGGTAACTTGGAAGATTATGACAAAAATGAAGAGAATTGTGATTGTCACTGCAAAAACATTACTCTTTGACGAAGATGCCTTATCAGCACTCATTTTCTTTAATGCCTAATTTCTTTCATACCTTGCACGCCTCAACCTCGAAAGTTGAGAAATTTCTCTAACCAACTTCATATCAGCTTCATTCAACGATGGGCCACTAGGAGGCCGCGGTGGTTTAGGAGGCTTCTTACATCCCCCATTTGTCTGTTTCTCCCCCAACGTTTTCTTCTCCATACTATCTCGCCTTGGCCCTGCCTCTACCCTCACATCATCCCCCACGTTGATCATTACGCCCTCTCCTGAAATAAATGAATTCTTGCTAATTGTATTGATCAATACTGATTCATTTTGAGTTGCAGCTTCATCCCGATCAATTCTTTCGTTAGGAAGCTGTCTAAGACGATGTCGCTTGGTTTCATCTCCTTGACTTGTGTTGTCACCACTTTCCAAATAAAGAACTACATTGCTTTTCCTTGAATCTATTTTATCCATATTGACATGCCCAATGTATTAAAAAATTTCATCCCATTCTCTAATATCATGAAGCAGAATATATATATAGATATATCTATATATATATATATATATATATATATATATCTCCAATCCCTTATGTTTTCATATATATAATTTTCCAGGAAAAAGTGTTGAATACCTTCAATATTTTTACCCATCCACACTCTCTGTTAACATCAAGTACTCCCTACTATAACTTCTAATTAAGCAAGTCGGATCAAACCTCAATACATGAGATAGATGAAAGGAAAAAGTCTTGATTTTCTGAGAGATTCCTGCCAGGAACCATCAATATCACAAGAGAAATCATATTTTCTACTTTTATGTATAAAGCTTATCATAATTAATAAAGCTGAAGACCACTAGTATGATTTCAAAATCCAAACTTCTCTTAAACAGTGAAAAGGGTATTAAATTCTCTTCATTATACATAGGTTCAGAAAGACGATCCATTCGTTAATTTGAATTCTTCTAGTAGTAACATTTTTCATAAACACATATAATTCTACAAAACGATCGCATACCATGTCATGAACCTGGTCTCCCTTTTCCCTGACAAAAACGTAAGAAAACCAAAACGAAAATGAAAAAAAAAATCAGAGAATCAAAGCTGCTAAGTAAATAGAAGCACGCATGCACAGGATTGAGAGCTAAGCCCAAATCATGTCGTTAACGTTTTGGCAGAATCGGAGGAGGGTTCTTCATTAATTTTACATATTTTTTATTTATTTTTCCTAATGAAATAATTTTTCCTGCATTATTCTCATCTTTTTTGGCAACCAAATTCACAGAATCATATGAATTGGTATGTACCTTTGGGTAGCGGGGGAGAGAAAGAGAATTATTACTAAACAAAACAAAACAAATCAGGGAGTAATAACTAATTAAGATATTTTTAGAATTTGTTAATGCAATCTTATCATTACTAATTTATGGTTATTTTCAGTTTTTGCAGTAGTGTTTTTTAACCACAGATTATAAAAGTACATATCTAGATTGCAATGTGAATTCTCTGCTTGCATATATATATATATATATATATATATATATATTATTTTGAAAGACTTCTAATATATATGTGTTGAAGAATTTGTCCATTACTCAAATTGATCAGCTTTTTATTCTTGCTTAATATCAAATCCTGTGTCCACGTACGCCATGGGAAAGTATTAAAAATGAGATCTGTTTTCTTGTGTTTTTCAACCTTTTCCCATTAATATTTGTTGAAAATAATTGGAAATTTAATTAGAGGAATTAAGAGGAAGATAATAAAATTGTATATAAAGATATTCACCGTAATTTAATAGAGTACTAAACATGTGGGTTTGACTCATACTTCGTACCAATCAGTTTAAGTTCGTCACTGCTCATTCGTTCACCAACAAAAAAAAAAAAAAGGAAGGATTCCCTAAGCCTGTGAGGAACCCGCGATGGCAGCTCATCTGAATGATGAGGCAAAGAAGCAACGAACAAGCTCCCTGCAGGTCGCTTATAACAACCAAACCTACTGCATGTCTTCATTTCTCAAAAAGAAGAGCCTTGATCGACTCTAGTCTTGAGTTCTAGCTAATAGGTATTGGGATATTAAAAACTGATACTGAGTTGGGCCTTTGATGATCCCAAGTCCAAATATACTAACACTCACCGATTGGCCCAACACTAACCATGCATTGCAACAAAGCCCAAAAAAATGACGGGAAATTGATGACATACAAGGAGCCTGAGCTGTTATCCTAAAGCAAAGAAAGAATGGGGTGGTCAAGTCGTGAGGCTCCTGCATGAGTTAAGGGTCACAATCCAAGCCACAAAGGATAGGACCACGTGTGGGAAATGTCCCAACGGGGCCCCAACAGATGCAAAGATGTTGATACTTGAGAGTCAAAAACTCCTTTTTGTCACGAGACAAGGAATCACAATTAGGACATTGAGATCCAACGAATGAGGCCACGAGTTTCATTTATGGGGCGCACTAGCACAGCAGCACAGCAGCACAGCAGCACCGTTAACTCCACATGTGGGCAAAGGCAAACTGCCCTTCTCCCTCCTTTCTGTTTGACATAAATTTTGTCGTCTTCCCCTTTGTTTCCTGCTTTGTTGGGACCTCCTCCCTAATCCTTATGGTGATTGGACCTTTTGACAACTCAAAAGCGATCACTTGTTTTGTCCTTTACTGTGGCTTCCTTGTTTATTAAACTCTCTTGATTTCCACCATTAAAGGTCAAGATTAAGCAGGGAATTTGGATGAAGCAAGTTGTGTTTAAAGGCTAATCCAAGCCCGATGTGATGGAAGTTGGTGAATGAATTAAAGCCACTCAACCAGAAGAATTTAGCAATTTTTAGTGAAGCTCTTTCTAATTTATATACTATACTATACTATAACAAAAAGAGGGGGAGAATAATACAGTGGTAGAAGTAGAATACACGGTGGTTGATCCAATGAAGAAGCATCATTTTGTTGCTAACATGGCATAATTATATATGTCAAAATCAGATACCACCAAGAACTGACATGTGGCATGCCACTCTGGAACACTTGTCATTACCTATAACAGGGATAACAAGAAGTCTGATAATGAAATGAGTCAATGACATTATGCCCTTTGTTTGTTTTGGATTAATTTGATTTGATTTGAAGGTGTATCATCATGCCTTCATCTATCAGTTATAAATGATGGAATGAACCAACTAAGCATCTCCTGATCACAACGTTTAGGGCAACGTGTATGCCAATTTGGCCAATATTACTTAGGGCATTCGACTCTCACATCACAAACTTAATTTCTAATTTTGAGTTTTGCTTAAGTTTACTAACTTATCCATTATATAACTGTATTTAAAATTTATGACAAAGATAAATTTGATTAGTATTAATATTTTTTATTTTAAAAAAATTTGAATCATGTTATTTGAATAAAAGAAACATGCATTAATCATTAAATTAAAATTATAATAAAATTTTGATTAGTATCGATAATTGAAGAACTCAAGTTTCTAATCTATATATTTATTGATTCTGGTATATATGTAAGATTATGATTCACATAAAACATCAATCCAATGTAATTTTGGAATTCAATGTGGTAGAGATCATTGGTGGGGAGTCTTAGAGGTTAAATGATGGCTTTAATTTTGATATCAGATATGGGAACCAAGAAGAAGAAATATATAGGAAAGCTCAGCAAATAAATATTGACATTAATGTGGTCACCAAAGATGAACTACTAAGTAGTTGGAAAATTACCTCTCCCCCCCTCCCCCAAAAGAAAATTCGAATTCATAAATTCTTGGCTAGAGCAAACCATAACAAACAAGAATTCACAAGGAATTAATTCTATGTAAATTCATTTATACTTGCAAAATAGTGGGCCTCAGCCTCCCATGTCCCATTCCATTCATGTTAGGTCAGCATCATGTGCACCCACGAATCCAACAGCTTGAAGAAAAAAAAAAACCCAAAGCCAACGTCTCTTTGGAAAATTGAAAACAATTTTAACATATCGGAGAAAAGAAGGAAGAAGTTTAGGTCTTCATTGACTGAGGTGATCAGGTTGCATCCCAATATCTGGCGAACAGAAAATCACCTCAATAAAGGTAATGCTGGACAAAGCCCGATCTCTTCCTTGAAGGGCACATAACTCAACAAGGAAAGGACTGCATTTTCTGCCCAACTGTCTCATTTACCTAATTCAAACTCTTCTCTCTCTCTCTCTATCCTTTTTTTTTTTTTTAAATTTTGTTCCCTTGTTTTGGTCTGCCCAACTTACTCTTTTTAGGACATCTAATCTAAAGTTTATGCATGCATGGTTTCCTACAATCAAAGCAACTTATTACTGTTATTTATGCGGTTTAGGGTTCCTAGCTACAAAAAGAGAATCCACGTACAAATAGCCATTCTACACATATAGTAAAAAAGAAAATTCCAACAAATAAACCTATCAACTTGTAATAGGAGGAAACTTGAAGAAAAATCATAAGCTCGAAGTATATAAGATTCGAACATGAAATATATTGATTTGAAGATCTCTATTTTACCATTGAGATAATGTCTCGTAATTATTGGCTAAGATTGAACCTTAGATTAAAACTTTATATTTGTTTTTTTAGAGGAAAAAAATATTGCTAATTATTCAAGTAATTGACATCAATTACTTGAGGTAATTGTTTACGACACATGTAAGTTGGAGAAAGAAAAACTAGATTGGGCATGGCTGCATTCACGTTGTTTTGTTTAATGAAGGCACATGGATGCATGTGAAAAAGATGGAGTATTAGGCAAAGCATTAGCCATTGGCCAATGAAAGCATAATTACCAAGGCATGTGGCCCTTTATTTTTAAACACCTTACATGACCAAATTGCAAATTGGGGCTCCCCGAAAAGGCCAACACTTCACTTGATAGGGATGCCACTTAGATATCCCACAATTCTCAATCCCTAGATCAGACAGCTTGACGGTCCTGTCTACTACACGTGTTAGCCCTTAAATGTGAAAAAGATATTCCTATATGAGAGATCATTTCTCCCTCCCCTACCTTGGGTGGGGGTAAGCCAGCCTTCATTTCATTTCAAACCTTGTTTTAGAACATTGTGGAAATGTGGATGGAAATTGCAAAGGATTGCAATATCATCAGTTCAAAAGCAAAACCTTTCTTTCTTTTTTTTGGTTCTGTCTCAATAAATAAATAGATAAAGATTGGCAAAATTTCCATTTCTTAAATGGCCATGTGAAGTTTTGGAAGCGGGTTGATGGGGAGGGCACATGCAAGCCATTGGAGGGGTGGGTGCACTTGAAAATGTAGGGCCATGGAAGCACATGTGCTGCCAAGGGCTGCTTCATCAAGGGCACATGTTGTGAGGCTGTTTTTGCAAATAGGCTGTGCGGCCTATATGCATCGGATATATGTGTCTATATATATATATATATATATATATATATATTTACTACTATTTTGGGGTTTTATATCTTACAAATATCTCTCACATTTAAAGTTACATTTGACAATCTTTGTTGCGAACTAGATTATTGGGTTTCCAAAATCTACATTCCCCCTGACCCTATTGCCGACAAAAATTTGATTTCTTCTTTTTTTTTTTCTTCCAAATTATTAAACCAAATATGACTGCCAAAGATGTGATTAATTAGCTATCTAGGAGGAGTTAATAACAACTTTGTTAGCTTCAAAAGACTTTCATTTTTTTTTTTTTCTGTTACTCCGCTTTGGCTTATAATGTAATTAAATCCCAAGTCTTGCATTTTTCCAAATTGAAATCTTATTTATTTGGTTGACATGAATATTATTACTATGTGTTATAACTCTTCACATTGAGACATAGATTTGTTAGACTCTTAATATTTAATTAAATAGATTTAACAGTATATAATAATAATAATAATAATAATAATAACTTGTTTTTAATGACAACAATTTTTAGCATTACCCATCACATCCACCCTTCTTTAATTTGATTATAATTTTACTTCAACATTATAAAAATCATTCAATTCTTATATCATCCAGTTAATCTTCATGGAATCTAATTAGGCGTTAAACTTTTACACCACCAAAGAAAAAAAAAAAACTAAGAACAAAGCAAGAAAAAAAAAATTTTAATGTCGGTTTAAGGATGGCTTTAGGCCTTAACATTTTATTACTATTATTCCTCCAAATTAAATGAAAACTTTTGTCCAATGGAATTAAACACTAGCTGCCATGTTCTATTATATTTGATTAATTAATTAAATGATTCTTACCAAACCAAAAAAAAAAAAAAAAAAGAGCAAGTGGAGCTTAAAAACATGAAGAAAAAGTCATTTACACAATAAAATACACGAAATTAAAAAAACTAACTAAATAACAAAGTTTTCAAAAATTAAATAATAGTAATAATAATAATAATAACAAACACCTTTTCACGATTCTTACGAGTTGACATTAGAGCCAAGCCGATTTGCCGGCGGCTGCGCTCCACCGCCAAGGGCGCTAGCAAGATGTTCGGTAATAGCCGTCATGGCCCGAACTTGCATTTCTAAAGCCGCTATGTAATCGGTAGTTTCTTCAATAAGGTTCGAGAACGATAGTTTCCGGCAACCAGGAACAAGCCGTCTCAAAACCTTCAACTTCCTCTCAACAACAGTTAATTTTCTCTTCTCTCCGTTAATCTGTGGCTTTTGCAACCTTGTATTTGCGGTGACCTTGGCTTTCTTATGTTTCCTCAACTTGGCACCAGCGTGGAGCCGACTGGTGAGAATTGCTCTGCTCCAACGCGTCGTTCCCTTGTCCGATATGGCGAGAACTCTGTCAGCCGTTTCATGGACTTCCTTGGCAGCAGCAGAAGAGGAGGTTCGACGTGAACGACAGAGAGCTTCAATGAGCTTGGAAGAGTAGATGTGTTGCTCTCGTAGGGTTCGCCATCGCTTGATTCTTTGGTTACCTTGGGTTGGATAACAAGGACCTGGGTTTTCATATGTTTTCCTCCGTTTCTTCCTTTTAAACTCAGGTGACGTGTCAGGGCGGGGCTCGAGGTTGGGTATGAACGAAGCCATGGAAAGTTGGAGTAATCGCAGAAAAGGAGTTGGAGGAGTGAGTGAACAAAGAAAGAAGAGAGGAGGGGTGGATAACTTATAAAAGCGATTCACGGGAAGCAACACGCGCCCATTCCTTAATCACATTTATTCCCTTTCGACTTAGCCTCCCAATCCCCTTATTATTTAATATTATTTATTTATAATATAATCTTATTTTATCTTATCATAATTTTATAAATTAAACACACCTTATATCTTTAAGAAATGTAAAAATTTTTATTTATATAATCTGATTTAATGTGTCAATCTTGTTAATCTCAATTTGAAAATATCTTTAATACGATCAAGACTTGCATGGGTTGGTTTAGGATTCAAAAACCTAAATTTGTTTAAGAAGAAAAATAATTGTTTTTTTTCTACCAAATGGAAGCATTACTTGTGGAACAAATTTGACCTTTAAAATTGGGAATAGTTTTTAACGGTTGAAGTTTCTATAGTAACTGATCAAGGAATCATCTAATTAACGTTTATCTAATTACAAATACATTTGGAACAATTAGATTTTGGTAGCTAATTAGGTTTTTGCAATAGGCAAATGGAAAGGAGATAATACTATTTTCTAAGGGTGAAAGAAGTGCAAAAGGGGTCAAATACTTTTTAATGGGTTGTGAAATTTTCCATGTGTTTCTAAGGAATCTGGCCAATATATGTTATCTAAGTTAATACTAAGTATAGATGATTTCTTTCAATTTCTAAATTAACCAAAAAATAGTCGAACTCTATTGACCACATTATATTTTTCATGAAGGATTAGTTTGCAGCTGAAACTTATTAAAATTCATGAAACGTCATGAACTGAGAGTGCTCCCTTGATTATATATTGTCCAAAAGAGTCAAAGCCAGTTTGATATTTGATTAATTGGTGAATGATGACTTCGTTGGTCAAGATCAGGATTTGATTATGGGATTGAAATGTACTGTAATACCTTCATTAACTCAATATATAATTTGCTTAGGAAAGACAAAGTTGAAGATCTCACTTTAGCTAATTACCTCAAAATATATTAATTACTTTAATTAACTTAAATTTTAAATTATCAACAAGATATAATACAAGGCCAAAAACAAACTAACCCACCACCTTAGATTAGATAGTGATTCATGGGGTCATACAGGTAGTGGACAACTTGCCAATTTAATCATTTTTTAAATCATCAAATTAACTAATAATTGGTCAGTATGAGGAGAGCAGCTTCCACACCCCATACAAAATGAAAAAGACAATCAATGAAAGACTGCCTTAAACCATAAAAAATGACAAAAAAAAAATGAAAATATAGATTTATTTCCATTTAGGAGAAGACATTGACAAATTTATGCTGGGTCTTATATATCTCTCCTAATTATGATATTTCACTTAATTCGTGGTATTATAATTTGGTAATGACCCTTTATATTTACGTCTGATTAATTTTAAGTTAGGATTGGAAAATAACAAAAAAAAAAAAAAAGATTACACAAAGCTTTGCAAGCAAACAATAGTAAAAAAAAAAAAAATCAATAAGCCAATTCCAACAACACCCTAAATCAGAAAAGGAAGAATATTTTTTTTTTTAAATAGAAATAGGCAATATCTTTTAGATAGCATGTTATGTCAATCATCTTAACTTGCTTCCAAAGATAATAATAATTAAGAAAACAAAAGGGCGATCTAAGAGTAATTAGGTCAACCAAAATGGCTTATAGACTTGTTATTCTTGCAAACTAATAAATTATGAATTAGACTTTAAGATATATATATATATATATATATATATACTTATATACGTTTGTTTGGTGTTTTAATGTTTTACATGGTACGTCACCTGGCTGGCTGGTAGGTGAAACCTTTCTTTTCAAAATTTAACTCATATTGATTTTGGGAATCATTTTAAATGTACCAGTTGAAGGAAGGAAGACATAAAAGTAGTGTTTAACAGCGCATTCTGAATCATTTGAGAGGAAAAAATAACAAAAGTAAATGTATATGAGTTGAATTTATTGGTTGGAAAGAGAGAAAATCTGAAGAGAATCAAATGAGGGCCTGCCTCCTTGTGTGAGACATGACATGCTTTTTCAATGTCAAAAAGGAAAAGTCAGTCCCAAATTTTTATATCACATTATTAACAGCCTTGATACACTGCAAATCATTTGGTACAAGGGCCTTTCACCAATCACCATGGTTTCCGCAAATTTTAGATTATCTCTCACAACAATTTAGCTTTGCCCTGAATTTGTTTGTACAATGTAATTAATTTTGTTGCAGTGGCAAATTGCAAATGTTTGATAGTTAGTCTCAGTTAGAAAAATAAGATTTTACTTAATTGTTAGCGCATCACTGATATATACAATAATAGAAACAAACAAACAAAAAAAGAGTTGTTCCAACTAATGAGACATCCAATGTCCTTGATTGACCAAGAATCTGATCAAATTGAGTTGTCCAAAAATTGATTCTTGGTTATCCGTTCTCTTAACTACTTCATGGAGAGAAGCCAATTAGGCTTCATTTCAGTGTCCTCCAGCAATTAAAAAAATGGTTTCTCAAAAGAATTTGATTGAAGCTTCATAATTAAATCAATAATAAATTAATTAAAACCCGTGATTGCATAAGGCGACAACCAAGGTTTGATCAACTTTGTTGCATTGCTCCCAACTCATGGGGTTTTAATAATAATTAATGTTTAATGCATTTTAATAAAATATTAGTTTTCTTGTTTAATTAATGATCATAATTTTATGAAGCTTGAGTTGGACACACAAAATTTCACCTTCTGACTCCTTGTTTTGTTTCATTTGATTTTTATCACGGACGGAGATTTCTAAAATGATTAGGTGTTTGACCTCTAATATGGTTTATCACCCTTTTATCTATTTATTTTGAATAATACGATCTTAATATGTGCGTTTTTTTTTTTTTTTTTTTTGCAACTATCTAAAGGCATATTATCCAAACTTTGATGTACTTTTTTTTTCATTCTCAACTCTCATTCCCATTCAATGTATGTAATGCTAAATGCAAGTTTGAGGTTATCATCAATTTTTTTAGCAATTTAAAAAGCAAATTTTTTTATTTTTTTCTTTAAAGATGTCAATAATTGATTTCTGATAATTAAAACAAAAAATCTAGGGGAAGAGGCAGATATCATTTAACCTCATTTTATAGGAGTTATATATCTTTTAGTTTTTGAAGAAACTGGAAGCACATAAAATATATATATACATATATTATTTTCAACTTTTTTTTCAAAGGGCAACGATCTATTTATTATGTTACAGAAACTTTCAATTAAGAATACAATTGGAAGAGTTAGATCTTTGCAGAATAAATTATGAAAAGAAAACTTTTTTTGATTTAATTTAAAGCAAATGTTTACGATAAGATAAACATTAGATTTGATGAAAGAAATGCGGTTTAGGCTGTCAATGTTCTATTCTCTATAATAATAATAATAATAATAATAATAATAATAATAATAATGATAATAAGAACGTGGGTAGAAAGCTTAAATTAGTGAAAACTGTCATAATATTTAGATCTGTGAACTTATCGTTAAATATCGATGAAAGGAATCGTCATCAATCTTTTTTGTTTAAATGTAATTGTCCACCTAACTGAATATGTCTCTTTTTAAAGAGAAATTCTAAATTTGACTTAAGTATCCTTGAAAGGTAGATTCAATATCTGTGAAATCAGAATTAGGTTCGAAAGTACGATTATGTGTGAGAAAGATTATAGTATTCTCACAACGCCTATCGAAAAATGATACCAGCTCGATTTCGTATTATTCATTAAGCCTTAAAAATTTTATCAAGTAATTAATTATTGAAAATTATTTTTAATTGATTCTAATACTTTTTACAAAAAATTAAAAAAAATTTCTCATCCGAAGAGTATACAAAAAAAAATTATTATTTTTTTTGCAGATGCTCCATCATCGGATTATTTAACATTAAAAAATTTTTAAGCAAGAAAAAGAGAAAAACAAAAAATAATAATGCTTTAACCTTTAATAGGGATCTCTTTCATTATTTTGTTTTATTTTATTTAAAAAATTCATGCATTTATACAAAGAAAGTTGATACTTTCAATTTTTTCTCAAAGCATTTCGAAATTTTTATTTTCAAGAAAAATTGATACTTTTAATTTTTCTTTAAAATTATTTTTTTAGGAAAATTGATACTTTTAATTTTTCTCAAAGATACTTTTTTTGAAATTTTTATTTTCAAGGAAAATTAATATTTTCAAGTTTTTCTCAAAATATTTTTTCAAAATTTTCATTTTTAAGGAAAGTTGATACTTTCAACTTTTCCTCAAAAATACATTTTTTGAGAATTTTTATTTTTAAGAAAAATTGATACTTTCAACATTTCCTCAAAAATGTTTCTTGAAGTTTTATTTTCAAAAAAAATTGTTACTTTCAATTTTTTCTTAAAAAATATCTTTTGAAAATTTTATCTTTAAGAAAAATTGATGCCTTTAACTTTTCCTCAAAAAAATCTTTTGAAAATTTTATCTTTAAAGAAAATTGATACTTTCAACTTTTCTTCAAAAAAAATCTTTTAAAAATTTTATCTTTAAAGAAAATTGATACTTTCAACTTTTTTTCAAAAATTTTTTTTTGAAGTTTTTATTTAAAAAAAAATTGATACTTTCCAACATTTCCTTAAACATCATTTTGAAATTTTTTTAATATTTTTGAGATTATTATTTTTTATTTCACAATAAAACATAAAACAAATAAACAGAATAACACCAAAATGAAATATCAAAAATCTCGACTTGGTTTAGTAGGGAACGGCTCGGCTTCTTTGTACTAAAATGGTCTGGCAGCTCGACTGCTAGATGAATTGGCTATGAAAATGGGTGTGGCTAGAGAATTGGCTTAGACTCGGCTAAACGGCTCCAAAGTATGGTTTCGCAAAGCAGATCGAGTCACTCGTTGAGTACTGCACGAATCTTTAAAGTGGGTCAAATATAACCCAGTCCTTTATCTAAAATGACACCA